TGCTTTTGGCACTCTGTGCTGAACATGACTGAACTGTGTTTGTGTACTGTGTCATGAGAGACCTCCATATGTTGTAAATAAGATATGCTGTCGGGACAGGTAAGATGCCTTTTCATTATGAGTTAGAAATATACCCTTATTTCTGATGCCAGAAGTGGGCTGAGTTCACTCTTCCCCAATGAATGGAATGAGAAGATTCTTCAGTTTACATACCGCAGTACTTCATATTGCAAACATCACTTATTTTCATCTTTTTTTCTGTAAATTTACTGATCCAAACACATGAAACAGCCACCAAGGTGTAGTCAGGAAAGCTTCTCTCTGCTCATTCTGTTTCCATCCCAGGGAGAATACTGTCCAGAGAGTCTCCCTAGTTAGGAGAACAGTCACGTATAGTCTCCAGAATAGTCACATATTTGCTACAGCCTAAAGCTTTAATGTTTGCTACAGGTTCACACTGCGGGTTTAAATCAGGAGGTGGAGTGTTGTGGCTGAGCTTTGGGTGGTGGTGGTGTAGATGGCAGTGAGCAATTCTGCAGTGCAGTTCTGAAGCAGTTAGAGAAGGTGACTTGCTTGGATTGGCACAAAGATCGTGTGGAACTATCTGCAGGTGTGATTTGGTTGTCTGTGTGCCAGGTTGGCGGGGGGAAACAGCCCAAACTCAAACACCACACCCCTTGCATCTGTTTGTTAAATCTTAAGTGTTCACACTGGATTGTTTAATGGTGAGAGGGGGAGAGATATTGCTTTGTTTCTTCGTGGTAGTTTTGGGTTTTGGCACAGTCACATTTTCATCAGATACTTTGCTTAGTTTGTCCTCACCTGGTAGAATGACTGGAATGAGAATAACAGTTACTACTTTTTAAAAAGAATGTTCTTGGAGGTTCTTGAAATGCTGGTGTTGTTTCAGTCACATCCACAGCAGTGACAGTCCCTACCTGCCAGGGTGTGCTGCATCAGCTGTTGGACAGGGGCAATTGTGCCCCTGTACATTGTGCAATTAGGAGAGAAGACACTATGAGAGGCTCATTTTGAGCAAGTCAAAACATTTCATAAAACACTTGTTTGGTGTATTTTGGAGGAGTTAACTGGGATTTCATGTTATCTCGTTCTGTACTAAACATTCATTTTCCAGATACTAACAAGAATACTTTACATTGACTGTTAAAAGAGTACAATAGGTGTGTCTGAGCGAGGTGAAGATGCTGCTAAATGTTTAAGATATGTGGTATGTATCACAAGATAAATATTTAAGTAGTTTAGAAAAGTAAATTATCAAATAGTTGTCTGTGTATATGTATGTGGATGGTAAAACAAAAAATGCTCATGTTGGTTATCACATTACTAAGCTACCACGACTTAATCCAGAAATGTTACCTGCATGTGAGACTTTAGAACTGGTACACTTCTCTACCTGGTTTATTGTGTTTACTAATGTATATTTTTCTAAATATACAGATATTTCAATCTAAAAAAAAAAAAATCTATATTTATCTGTAATTTCTATCTGTTTTGGACAGTGCATGAGGTGCTGTAAAATTCTGTACATATAGAGACTTATAGAAGAAACACTGTAGTTGCCCCGTGAATGAAAAGTTATACATAGAAGTATAGTCAGTATGCCAAGACCTGTAAGTTATTTCCCTGAATTCACCAAAAATTCACTTAAGCTTGCACCAGTCTCAGCTCTCCTGTAAATACTGTGGTGCATTGTGTACCTAGGTGATGACCTTGCTGTCTCTAAGTGTTATAGCAGGTCTGCTTTAGGTTCTGCATCATGTGACAAGATGCAGTCCAAGTTTAGTGGGATAATTATAATGGAATACATCATCTTGCATAGATTTATAAAGGTCTTTCAAAATGTTCTGCAAACCTTTGCAACGAAGGTAAACATGGAGCAGAATCACAGATCTTTGTAGGCAAGGAAAATCAAGCTCATAACCAACACAGTATCTGTGACTTGTGCCGTGTTCTCGGCTCAGGGCAGCTCTGTGTACTTAGTTGTACAAAAGCTTTGTGGAGCAGGATGGCAGATCAGCTCATTGCTTTTGAATTTCTGTTTATATAAACTGTCACATCTTGGCTGAGCTCAAATTGTGATATTTTTTCCTTCATCCTCTCTAGTCACTGCATCTTCTAAAATCATACCTAAGTGACTTGCTTACAAATTGCCTGCAGCTCAGTGCTCAGGAAGTCACCTGGGTTTGGTTTTGTTTTTTGAAGAGGGTGATTCAGCTAAGAAATAGGAAACTTCTTTTTCTTTCAAACACAGAAAATCCCTGGCTAGGTACCCCCTTGAGCCCAGTGGGTCTCTGCTGTGCCCAAGGACCAGTGAAGAGCGATCAAGCAGAGCACTCCAGAGATCAGGAACTGGGTTCTTACCTGCCCTTACACGAGCCAGTCTTGTGAACATCGACTCCCTTCACCTATCCCATCCCATGGTTTCCCATCCAGGCTTCCTGTAGCTTGCTTCTCTGCTCACACTGAACCTGGAGGCCGTGTCCCAGTGCATGGACAGTGCCTCCTGCAGCAGCTGCCCCATTGCCCATTGTGCCTGTGGGCGCAGCTCTGGGATAGCCAACAGCTGGGCACTGTCATGTCCTGCACATCTGCATGGGCTGTTTGCTTCATGCGGGGTTCCCTGCCTCACCCAAATTCCAAAGAGTTCAAGTACCACATGGTTATTGCCAAACTTCATGATGCTACTTTGCAGAAGTGGTGAGATCATTTTATTGGTGTCTGTGTGGTGGGTACTGGATCAAAGACTCGTAGTCTGCTGGGCCTCTTGCCTTAAATATTCCTCAGCTCCCAGCACCCTCTTCTCCCTGCAATAAAATCCTCTCCTGGGCCACTGAAAGGGTTTCTATCCTTAAGGGCACTTTAATTTCCTTTCTCTGGTGGACTGTTGTGACTGACAGTGCTGAAGTGAAGTCTGGCCCTTCCTTTTTTTTCCCTTGCATTTCTTCTTTTTTGGCCTGTACTTTAGTTTTCACATCTGTTTAACAGGCTTGCTGATGGGAATTGTCTGGGATTTTCCACTTGTGTCTTATAGAGGAAATAGTTAACAAGAACATCAGTATTCAGGACTTGTGTAACTTACTGGTTTTAGGCCCAAGACAGATCCTAAAAATAAAAACACTTGTAAAATAATCGGTTTTGGTTATTTTTACAGGCAGCTTTTCCTTCTAATCATATTAAAAGTGTGCTTGTGCCCACACACACTAACACCCATATATATAAATAAAACTTCGGGGTAAACGCTGCAAATATTTCAGGCAGTGTCTGCTAAATTACCTGAATTCTCTGCAGTGGGATACGATTCCAGAGTTACATTGTCAACTGCTGAATCCTCAGTTCATTTGCTGTACTGCAGCTGGGATTTACTGGTACAGGCCTAAAAACAAACCCCAGCTTGGTGAAGGCTGTTACGTAGCTTCATCTACAAATGGAATTTATTCAGCAGGGGTTCAGCAATATTTGTATTTTATAGAATAAATGACACTTGAAGTAAATTAATTTTTTTCTTGGTATTTGGAACTGTTTGTTATGCTCATTGGGTATGGAGTTCCTTTTGCTGCTAGGACAGTGGTCAGGTAACAGATTTAAGTAGTCCTGGAAACACTTTCTCCCATTTAGCCTTTTCCTTTTTATGTCACCAGCTCCATGCTAATGCTTTTCCATGCAATTTTGGTTGTTCCCCTGGCTGAGCCAACTGTTGGTTATTCCACAAGCAGCCAACATTTAACTGAATTCATTAGAGCCTCTTCCAAAAACCTAGTCTCTCTGTTCCCTGACCTCTCACATGATCCATAGCATAAAGCAAAATGAACAGTGCTGCTTTGTACAGGTAAAAAAAGGTTTTTTTGTTGGCTTAGGTCTTGTACACAATTATGTGTGGAGATAACTGTTGATATATATTGTTCCCCCCTAGGACAATGAATGTTGAGCATCCCTTGCCCACCCTCCATGTGTTGCCCATGTGTAACATTTGTGCACTGTGGTGTAGGGAGGGGAACTGCTTCTGTGGGGTTTAAAACACAAGAAAGTTGCTGCTCTCCGCCCCCACACCAGGCTAAGAACTGTAGGATCTTGGTTGTGTTTGGGTTTAAATGTGCATTAGAACTCTGTCACCAGACATTTCCTTACCTTGCTTTTTCTCACAACTGGTTTTGCCAGTTGGAAGCTCTCATGGTTTTCTGTTTTGTAGGTTTTTTTATTTCTACAGTATATTAAATTAACCTGGATTTGAATTTGTAAAACTTTCAAAACTGCTCTCCTGTAAAAAATAGTTTCTTTAGCTGAAAACTTCCTACAAGAAAAATCTTAACCATTAGCTGAATTTTTTTAATATAAACCTGGAAATTATTTAGTACCTAATTGTTTGAATACAGTACTGTAGAGCAGGCCTAGGATATGGGACTTGTTAGCATTGTGACTTAATACTGATAAAGTCAGCTACTATGTGGGATGTTTTTAAATTGTGACTTGTTTTCTAAGACCCCCCCGCCTTGTCTTTTTCACAGCTAATATTTTCACAATAAACACAGCCAAACATAAAATGTTGATGTACAAATGATGAAATTCTGTTAATTCCCAACAAAATATTTTTGTATATAATAAAGATTTAATATTGAAAAAATGTAATTGGGATTTTTTCTAATTTTTTTTTGGTCATAGTCTGCATTTGAGCCACATAATGTATCAAGGACCAGTCTTTGAATCTGCCTTTTATCTTTTATCTGGATTCTCCAACCTTCCTCCTGGGCAAGGCAAAGGGAAGCAGTATTTTGGGGAGGTAAAGTCAGGGTGTGAAATCAAACCTTTAATGAGAAAAGCTTCAGCCTCCTCTGAAGCACCCTATGGGTCTTTTACCACCTCCTTTGCTAGGGAAAAAGCATTGAAAAAGCATTTTCCATGTCAGGCCAGCCTGGAGTCGCTTGTTGTCAAAGATGTAGTCCCCAAAAGAAAAACAATGGAAATTACATGTGTAAGTTATTCTATTGTTTTGACACAGCATTTAATGGGCAGTTTTTGTAAATTCATTACAGAGGCAACTTTAGTAGTGGATAGGCAAAAGACAACTGTCCCACTTACACACTGCTCCCAGAAGCAGAGTTCCATGCTTCCAGCTCCTAAAGGATCTTTCTTTCTACACCAGCACAAAGTTCAGGCAACACCATTGGCTTCACTGAACAGATGAGATGCAGAAACGCCCACGTCCCAGCGTGCAGAGCTATCCTGAGCTCTCACGGACTGGAAAGGCACCGTGGTGCTTTTCTGCAAAGTCCATGTCCTCAAGGAAAGCTGAACTGAAGTGACTTTTTAAAAGCTTCTTAGACAATCTGCTCAAGGGCATGTGGGAATAGAGCAGGAAATGGAGCAGAACTCCTACCCACCAGCTACGCTGCAGGGCCTGGTTACTGATCACCCCCACACAGGTGCCTGCTTGTTTGTCTCTCAGCCATCTCACGATCTCATCTGTAAGCACTGATACTCATCTACTTGGAACATCTTCCCAAGCCCACATTTACAGTGATCTATGCTGCATTTCTGTTCCATCCATGATTATAAAAAATTATGATGAAAAAACAGGCAAAATAGTTCAAGCACACAGTGCTTTACTAATACTTTCCTGTTAGTCAAAGAAACAAGCAAAATATGTGCACTGAAAATGTCATATGGGTAAAATGATCATTTCTGTGGTGTGCAGCAGGGACCCTTCATGTGCACACACCAGAAGGCATTGCCATGCCAAAGTTCAGAATGCAGTTTAAACAGCTGAAACTTGCTAACATGAGTAAAAACATACCAGAAAACAGAAATGCTGTACAGAGGTATAAATCCCTGAAGTGGGTCTGGGTGGTTGAAAAAGAGACTTTGCTATTTCCTGCAGTGTGCAGCTCATATCCATAAAAGTCAAACAATAATTAATAAGAGAATCTAATCGAGTACCTTTTTGAGAGCCCTCCATTGCACTTGCTCCAGAGTGAAGGCATTCTGCACACCCAGGCTTAAGTAGAAAAACAGTTGCTGCATTGCAGAACCCTGGGTTTCCAGGGCCTGCCTGTTTGCTTGCTTACAAAAAGCAGTTTGTACTTTGCTGCCTTCTCCCATGCATATTAATGCAAGCAATCTGGCTTTCACTGCCCTGCAGATCTGACACCTACCAGAGCAGCTATGTTCAGTTTCTCTCCCATGGCTCTCTTTTTTAATTTCTCCCCTTCATCCCTTATTTATGTATTTTCCACTGAAACTGCAGAGTCCCCTGGTCGCCCTAATTCCTGCCTGTGCTGCCCTAAGTACCAACAGAACAGCTCTACTGCTGATCCCAAACACACCAAAATTACAGACAGCTACAAAAGAAGCAACAGGCTACAGCAAAAACTGGATACTCAGTATAGCTCCTATACATTCCCACCTAAAGCATGAAATCCATACAGTGCAACATAAAGAACAAGTGGGAAGAATCTCGGTTCTTTCATAGTTACAGCCTTTACAGAAGACTCTGTCATTTCCAGATTAATGTTTGATGAAGCAAACAGCCTTTGCACGACCTCAAATCTTCCTCTGTCGGTGAGAGTGGCCACCAAAGGACTGCTCAGCGCCACAGTGCCATCGGCTGAAGCGACGTTAGGCTGTATTCATGAGACAGAGCAAAAGACAGAGACATTAAAACATTTTCCAGGCACTGCTGTTCCTGCCATTGCACAGCTCAGTTTCATATAAAACCACCAGAGAGCTGACAAGACAGCAGCAAAAGGTCACGATTCCCTTTACTATTAGCACTGACAAGTACAAGGTACTGATCCAGAACCAAAGCTCCATGGCACGCTCTAAGGGGAAACATCTCTCCTACTGTGTCATTCCCTGAGTTCAGCTTCTCTCACTGCACATCACACTTACCTATCACTCTGAGCAAACAGAAGAACTCCCCTTGCTCCTACATATTTAAAGGATTTTACTATTGTTTTTTAAGTGACTTAAAAAAGCTTAGAAAAATCACAGAATCATAGGTTGTTTGGGGTGGAAGGGACCTTAAAAGATCATTCAGTTCCAATCCCCCTGCTACAGGTAAGGACACTTTTCACTAGACCAGGTTATTCAAAGCCCCATCCAGCCTGGCCTTGAACACTTCCAGCCTGGAGCATCCACAACTTCTCTGGGCAACCTGTTACAGTGCCTCACTATTTTCATAGTAAAGAGTTTCTTCCCATCTAAACCTACCCTCCTTCTACAATTAGGTCACCCTGAAGCATTCTCTTCTCCAGGCTAAACAAATCCAATTCTCTTGTTCTTTCCTCACAGGAGAGGTGCTCCATTACTCTAATGCCCTGCACCATTCCTTCAGCAGTTTCAATAAATGGCCTCAGAGTTTTGAGACTTCAGGGTTTGCCAAGGCTCAAGCACTGTTGCTGTCAAAGCGAAATTTGTTTCCCAAGGAGAGGTGATTACTGTTACTGAGACTTTAAAACAGTGAGACTATTAGAAAAATAAAACCAGAGCTTAAGTCACAATTTTCTTTTGCTCCCAAGCTGTGAAATCTCCCAAATACAGCAATGTTCAGAAGTTAGGTATCCATGCGCAGTAAATTACATGCTGCATTTGCCATGTCAGATTCTGAACTTGGCTAAGCACTGCCTACAGCTGAAATTCCCACTGGAGCTAGACATCTCCTCCTTTATTGGGGAGAAATATGGCTGAGGACACAGCCACTGCTGCTGCTGTGCCCACAAGCACATCTCATCTCCATTACTCACCAAAAAACACAAGGCTGGAACAACGTGAAGATCACAGCAGGCACGCAGCAGGACAAGGGTGTCATCAGGCAGCTCTGTGGAAGACACAGTCACAGGCAAAGGTCATTTCCAGTGAACCCTGCACCAGGCTGACTGCTGGAACAGGAGCTTTATCAGGAAGCTAACAAGGTCCTCCTCAGCTGGATGTTTGGAAGAGGCTGATCCAGCCCCTTCCTGCGTGCAGAATAGAGTGGGATGGGCAGAGGGTCTGACTATTCTCTATCCATGAGAAAAGGCATTTGTAGAAAAGGGGTTTTCCTCCCCTTCGCCTTGCCTCGTCCCTAACTATCTCCTCAGTGTTTAACTTCGAGTCTGGAGGCTGGATGAAGGACTTAGGCCTTGAATCAACCAAGAACCTGTGCTCCCAAAATCCATACATGATGCTAACTTCTGCAAAGCACAGTTTGAGAGGAATGGTCTAGCTGAGATTGCCTCAATGCTGGGAGATGGACTAAATGATCCCTGTGGTGCCCTTCAACTCTAACAAAAATACTGTAATTCCTACCACAAGCAACAAGCATAAAACAGCTTTTGAATCTAGATCCAGCTACACTCATGTCTGGACTTTAGCAGCAGACATTATGTCCAAAGTCAGGTAATAACGCAACACACTCAATTAACTGCCCTGCTGCTAATGACATCTGACAATTGATACCACATCAGCAGGTTTCTGTTTTCTATTTCTCTTCTCTCTCCACAAATGAGTTAAGCTCTCCCACCTGGGTCCTGTGCATATATGGATGCACACTGACATTCTGCTGCATGGTGCCACAATTTATACTGGACTTCCCTTCATTATCTTAATGTCAGGGAATTCTTGATATACAAGAGAGAAGAGAAAAATCCAGGGAAGTCTGTCTTGGACTTTGCAGGTAGCTTTTAATTAACACTGTGGTGCCAACTAGATTGTGAGGATGGCATCTGTTTGACATTTATGTTTAATCTCCTGTTTCAGCAGCTGCAACACAGCCCTCTAATTGCAGCGTCTCTGTGTTAAACTCATTTTTCCTAAATTTAGTTTGCACTTGAACAATATACACTGCTACACAGGAGACAACACCTAATTTGTAATTCTCGGCATTTAGGCGGGAAGGACTCTGGCATGCAGCAAGTACAGAAATTAGCTTGCCAAACTGCAAATGCTCACACTCAGCAGAAGCAAAGTTGAGCAGTCTTGAGGGAATGTGTAATTTACACACAAGATCTGTCAGTGATTGAGGGCTGAATTTAATTCACAGCCAGGAATACTAAGCATAGTATACCAAACTCATAAAAAGGGAACAGAAAAATTTATGTTCATGCAGCTCACCAACTGCTCAAAGAAAGCCATAAAAGCTTTAACATGGAGGGAGCTTCTAAAAGGAAAATAAAAATTTTAAAAGGGCTTTTCACAACATACCAGATATAGCACTGATAAGAAGGTGAGCAGCTGAGAAAAGTTCTTCATCCTGAGGCTGGTATTTCTGCAACAATAGCTCACTCTTCAAACTGCACCCTAAGAGCTGCAAGAAGTCAAGGAGGTCTCTTTGTTGTTCAGGTTTTAACTCCTCCAGATCTGGCTTGTCTCCTGTGCAGATATCATCGAACTGAAAGCAAAAGAAATAAGCAAAAAAAGAAAAGAGAAAAATTCAAGCAAAAGAGAATGCTAGTACTACTCTGAAATTACTTTTAGGAAGCAATTCAAAGGTTCTTCATCTTACCATGTCCCCCAGGGCAGTCACCATTTCTTCATGGAGCAAGAGCTCACACAGGGTTTTATATAAAGCTCTCTGCTTGTCTTCAGCAAGCTTCATAAACGGCTGGAACTGGGTCTTCAACCAGGACAGACCTTTCCCAAGAAAGCAGTGGAAAATAAAACTAAGTATTCCTATAGAAATGCCAGTAAAAACAGATAACATTTTGCTGTGTGTTTCTCAAGCTCATTTATCACCACACCTTGACATCCTTGACATTCTGATTTCCACCAGCACAAGTTATTATGCAAGGTTTGAACAGATCTGATTTTATTTCCTAAGAAGCCAATGAAACCTCAATGCAAACATTAAGAAAGAAGAACAGCTACCAGGAATCAACATTTTGGTGTATTTTTAATACTTTGAAATTCAATACTTTAATGTTAACAAGCTAACTACATGAAGAGTACTCATTAAATACAAGGGAGTGCTCTGCATTCATTTTCTCACAATTCAACTATGATACTGAAATGAAATCTTCTGTGACATAAAATTACCATGTTGCTAAAAAAAAAAAAAAATCAAGCTTTCAAATCAATAATGCCAACTGGAAGGTTGGAAGGGGTTTTTTTTCCACATTCCAAAAATGTGGGCATACAAGTGTTCTCAAATTTGTTTAAAATAAATTTTCCTTCATGTCACTCCAGTCAAGAAACATGCTCTGTTTAAAGACATCCTTTATAACTAAAAAATTACTTCACTGGGGGAAAAAAAAGCCCAGCCACAGGCAGGTATTTTGTTTATCTGGTGCAATGGTATGAATTTGTCTATACAAATAACAGAAAATGAACTGTGCTTCCAAATTCTTTAGTAAAAACAATTTTTTTTTAGCTTTTTAATTTTCCAAGAGACAGTGGAGGTTAAATTATTTAAAGAAATCTCTGAACCTTTTAAGCAAGAAAAACAAATAGGCATGTCAAACTAAAACAAAAATAGAACAGCGGCATACCATTCTTTCACAAGTGTTTTTTACATACTGTTTATTAATCAAGGGGGAAACTTAGAGCCAAGAGGGTGATATTCATCAGGAGAACCAGCTGTAAGAACTCCACCAAGAACTGAGGAAAAGCACAGTGTGTTCTGAGACCTTGACTGGTTTTCCCTTTTTTCATTCCACCAGTAAAATTCCCGCCTCTTCTTCCCACATTCCTACAATAAGAACTTGTACCTGGGCCATTATACCAATTTGCAAATCTCCATTTAAACCACATTTTGATTTTCTCAGTTACAAAGCTTCTCAGAAAATAATGAGGCTAAGTGAAGGCAAGGCAGATGTCTATTTCTGAGACTTAACCTGTAACTGAGAAGCTTAACTGAGACTATTTTTCAAATAATGAGAAACTATTTTCTATTTTTTTAGTGACCCTTTCTGAATGAAAGCATGTATCATCACTACTCTTGCAGAGGTTATCTGGAATGTAAAAGAGCCATCTGACTTTGTAAGATGGTATTTATGACAGATGGATTCAGAATTTTCACAGAAAGAGTCCACTGCATACACTTACTGCAAACTGATTTCTTATATTCTTCCAGTGCATTTCCCCAAGAGTTCTTGATAAGAGCTATTAAAATGAACTAACAAGATTTCTTACTTACTATTGTACCACATTATTTCTGCCTATCAGGTTATTTAATGCACTGTAATATAATCATGCAAAGCATTTCTGGTAATACCTTGTTTCAATATACTTATAGAAGCATCACTGGGAACGAGGTTTTTAGTCCCAGAGTACATCTCATTATCAACAGCATCTGGCTGATAGAGGAACGAAGCATCTCTGAATTGAACTGAATGGGGATAAGCTGAGCCTTCTGTACTTTCTTTTTCAAAACCTCCTTGCTGTTCATCTAGCAGACAGAACTCTGTAATTAGAAATTCAATCAAAAACAATAATTAATAAAATACACGAGCAATTACTGAATGAGATGATAGCTTGTATTTCCCAGTGCTCTCGCATGTCATTTCTCCATGTCTTGTCTCTTCCAGATGGAGAGAATGCCAGCGGTTGCTGTGCATGTGAATTATTGAGCATTCCTGCAGCCCTGATGTTTGGTACAGTGTGTACAGACAAGATCTGTGGTGCAGCTGCCTCCTACAGAACATGACACCAGCTCCTGTGAACTAAATTAATGTAGACAGAAAATAACATGAAAACTTCCCACTGACACTGTAAACCAGAATGCTGCAGACAGGAGATGCAGGTAGTAATTCTTGATGTTTTCACAGAATCACAGAATCAGCTGAGTTGGAAGGGGCCCTCAAGGATCATCACGTCCAACTCCTGGCCCCCCACAGCATCATCCCCAAGAATCATCATGTGCCTGAGAGTGTTGTCCAAATGCTTCTCAAACTCTGTCAGGTTTGTGCTGTGACCACTTCCCTGGGGAGCCCATTCCAGTGCCCAAACACCCTCTGGGTGAAGAACCTTTCCCTGATATCCAACCTAAACCTCCCCTGACACAACTTTGGCCCATTCCTTGTTGCTGGTCATCACAGAGAAGAGATCAGCATCTGCCCCCCTCTTCCCTCACAAGGAAGTTTAACGTTGTAACTGCACTGAGGTCTCCCCTCAGTCTCCTCTTCTCCAGGCTGATCAAGTGCCCTCAGCTGCTCCTCATACGGCTTCCCCACAAGGCCCTGCATCATCTTCACTGCCCTCCTTTGGGTACTCTCTGAGAGTTTTCTTACATTGTGGCACCCAAAACTGCCCCCAGCACTCGAGGTGAGCCTGCCCCAGCTCAGAGCAGGACAATCCTCTCCATTGCCCGGCTGGTGATGCTGTGCCTGATGTATCCAGGACAGGCTTGGCCCTCCTGGCTGCCAGGGCACTGCTGAGTCAGATTCACCTTGACATTGCCCAGGACCCCCAGGTCCCTTTCCACGGCACTGCTCTCCAGCCTCTCATTCCCCAGTCTGTATTTTTTCTACCCTCTAGGAGATGTGCTGTAATGCAGGCAACGGGATCCACTCATGAAGGAGACACATGAAAGTACTCTCTGAGATTTGTAAGAACTCTTGAGAGTCCTTCACAGAGCTTCTGTTGGTCACGGCACTGACAGACTCCACTTTCTCAGCCAAGCCACAGGTCCACTCTCAAGTCCTCCAGGTAAGTGGACAACAGACTTCTGAGAGTTTCTAAAGGACATCACCCAGGAATGTTTCCTAACAGAATCACTCTGCAATACCTGTCTCTCTTCAGTAACATCACAGAGGAAATAACATGCCCTGGCTGGATTACCCTTTCTGCCTCATCTTTGTGACAAGCACTGGCCAAACTCACCCAAACAGGACTGTTCTTGTCCTGCCATCCCAGTGCCACAGCCTGATGAAGTTAAGGCTTCCTGGAAGGTACAGGGAGCCTTTTTAAGAGTTATGCTGAGAAATCTGGAGTATCAAATTCTGTGCTTATCTGTCCAACACTGTGCTCTAAAGATGCAGAATACAGTCAAAGCCCAATGAAGATTCTGATAATCTTTTATTGGCTCAAATGCAAGATTTGAATGTGTACCCATGGCACTCCGCAGTGGGTCTGAGGAGAACACAGGCAGGCTAGCAAGAGAAACTCAATTTTAAAAGTAATACCTGAGAGCGAAGGGGAAAAAAGGTAACTAATCAAGCACAGTGCTCAGATGTACCAGGAACAAAGCCTAAATATAACCTTTCTGCAGTTGTAAGAGTCTGTCTTACTAAATTAAGGACATTCAAAGCAGATGAGAAAGCATGGAGAGCACTCCATCAGCAAAAAGCTTTTTCAAAGGGAAAGCAGACAAAGAAATCCCTGCCATAGAGAAATAAAGATGACAGACCTTTATGCTTGCATAACTCTTCATGGAGAAGAAGGAGCTACAGAGGAGCAGAAAGCGATTAACACAAGCTAAGAACTTCTCAAAGCAACGAGGCTTTGGACAGCAGCTGAGGCACCACAAAGGCCAACACACTCATGTTACTGTCATTGAAAGTAACAAGGCTTTCACATGAACCCTGAGGAGGAAAACTGTGCTAATACACTGCCTCCCCTCCTGAGGCAAAAGGATGCTAATAAGGGCAATAGAACTTTTCAGATGATGTTGTTTAATCTTGTAATAGGACTCAATTCACAGGAAAACACAGGACTCAAAATTCTATACTATGAGGACTGTTAATAAATTCTGTATTGAATTCTATTACATTCATCAATGACAAACTTCCAACAGTGCAGTTACAGCTTGTTAGTTACTCAGAAATGTCAACAAAAATGCAAGAAAACTAGAGATGATCAATGAAAACAATCAAAGAGACTCCTTTATGTGGAAAAGTGGATATATTGGGACTGCTTAAATTAAGAAAAGGCAAACCACACACATATAGCCATGAACAGAACAAAACAAATCAGCTGTGTGCTTTTATAGTTCCTGATTTGTAAAGCAAGAACAAGAGGCATTTCAGTGCAACTTTAGAGACACAAAACTGCAAAGCCTTAAGCAGAAACAGCTTTTACACGGAGCGAAAAACTGGCCTGTAGAAATCAAACAGAATGATTACAGGAAAGCACAACACTAAATGGATCAGAAAAGCTTTAGATCCTTCTTCTTTTCTTAAAAAAATTATTTTATTTATTTATACAAATATCCAAATATGTCCGGTCGCATTAATCAGAACATTTAAAAGAAATATATACCATTCTTCCTAACAGAATAACTTGGGTACTGGCAGTGGAAAAGAAAAAGAAACAATAAAAAGCTTACATGCATCTTACTCATAATTATCTGTGAAGAGAATCCCATTAGGTTACACCTGCTATTGGCCACTTTCAGTCTCACGAGAAAGGACTATATTAGTCCTTGGATTTAACTTCAAAGGCTATTTCTACTTCCATAAACAGACACTGATCCCGGCTGCCCAGACATTAACAAGTTGAAGTTTAGGCTCCACCATACTTACTCGTGCTGGCAAAGCCCTAGTTTTGTTGTCAGTTCCTCCCCTTTACCTTCTCAAAGACAGGAAAGGGAAAATAGCACACATTAAAAAAGAAAAGAGGCAGGACATAGATTGTTTAAGACAAAACACGAAACAAACTGTGCTGGTTTTGAAGCTTAAAAGACAATAATATTAAATATGAAAAAAGTGGAAAAAGAAGCAGAAGTGGAAAAAAAGCAGAGAAATACAGATCATTAACAAGACCCATGTATTCTTAGCTAGCAGGACATCGTAATTTCATGTAGAAATCTCTAAGTAGGCTATCAGTTATATACCTATGTAGTCAGACAGCCTTAATTGCATCTCATTACTCTGAATAACAGTTCTATTATAACCATGACGTCAACATCCTCCTCTACTATCTCTGTGTTCAGTCTACATCAGAGCAATTCCACTTTTCAGAAACTTTTTACAGGTTACATAATATTTATTTATATTCCTGAGCCTACAGACTTTCTTAATATCACAAGTATGATGGAGAGTTAATTTTCTGCATTTCTCCTCCAAGTGAAGTACATCCTGGATTCAAATCTCAACTGTACTCCAATTATTTCTTCTATGTATCTCCTGTTTCTCTCCACATCAGTCCTTCCCAACTTCCAGCTCTACTATCTGATTTAATTCCTACTTGCATAACATCCTCTGAAACCTCCTTTAGGTTCATGAGTTTAAATGAGGATAGGCAAGAAAGAAAAACCCAAGTGATTGTGCAGAGCAGAGATACAACTCCCCCCAAAGCCAATTTCAACATTTTTTTAACCTGAAAAATATTCGACTTGACATAAGTAAAGCATGACCAGACAACACGACAAGGGCATTTCTGCAACCACTCTGAGGGCAATCTTTAAATGAAAGAGTAAGCTAGAAAAGTTTAAATTCCAGTCCTGAATGTACCATTCTGTTCTCAACATGACTGTTGTCTAAAGACTCCTGGTTGATAGCTGATTTACATTCAGGTCACTCTCTGCAACAGGCAAAGGGAATAGCCCAGGCCAAGGGCCAGCTGGATGGAAGCAAAATTGCAGAGAAAGACATGGACGACAAATCCGAGAGGATCAGTAGCTTGCCCTTGCAGTTATTGAAGTTTGCTCCCAAATTTGCTCTAAACCAGAATGGCTGCATACTGGGCTGTACTGACAAGACTGTAGCTGGTGGATTGATGGAACTGAATTTTCAATTTGGGAAAGTGCATTCAGAGTGTGATGTCCAGTTTTGGACTCTTGAGTGCAAGCCCCACATTCACAGGCTGGAGCTATCTAGCAAACAGCAGATATTGAGGAGAATAATTTCACTACCTCAGTGATCAAACATGGTAACAGGCTGCCCAGAGTGATGGAATCTCTGTCTCTGAAGATAAATCAAAACTTTTTAACAGACAAGGATATGAGCAATCTGATCTAACTGAACTTAGATCCAAGTTCAAAAGTTGGCCGTGCCTCAAGCAGAGGCTCAGCTACATGGTCTCCTGTGGTTCCCTGAAACCGAAGTCATTCTGAGTTTACAGTGCATTCAAGCCAGTGAAAAAGCATTACTACATCAAAGTTTTAAAATTACTCAATCTGCATTTCTAGCACAAATAACTATCACGGCAAAGGACACCATACAACATAATCACCTTCATGCACAGGGAAACACAAAAATCATTGTCTGACAAACAGCTTTGTCCACAATTAAACTGTGTGCCACAAAAAAAAGATTTTTACTTACCAAACTGGCCATTGTGCTTTATAAACAGTTCAATTACACCGTACGCAATAGTAGTTGCAGGAGGAATTTCAAGGATCACGCTAGAATCCTTCATCAGACTTCCATTCTCACTTACTGAAACCTACAAGACAGATTTATTCACCATTTATCTGATTAAGCTGCTGCATAGCTTAAACACATAATTAAGGTGAAAAATACAGAGGGAGATTATGCTTTATTCTTCATGATGTCTCATCAAAGTGTTACACCTTACATCTGGCATCTAAGAAAGGAACTAGATGAAGAATGAGGTAGAAACAGTGCCAAGAGCAGCTCTCACGCTCCTAGCTACCCTGTCCTAGCACAAAGCTGAGCTCCAGGTGTAGCTTTTGCCACACATGAAGCCCCATGTCACTAGGAAACGGGAACCCACTTTAGTGTTCTGCCTTGCCCAATTCTACTGTGACATTTCTTTTGCACAGCTGGAGGCTGGTACCAGGAAGGTGGCACTTGCAAAGGGGGTTATTACACTGCAATTCCCAGATTCCTGCAACTGGAGACACACTGCACACAGAAGTGATTACCAGCTTTAAAAAAAAAAAACCCAAACAACTTGCAATGAATGAGCTTGTTTTGACTTTGGTAATTCCTTCTCAATTCACAGGCAATTTTTCAGATAGCTTCATAATGCAGTTAATCTCTACTCCCATGATCGAAAACAAATAGTTTCCCAATAAATATGAAAACTCAGTAGACACTGAAACCATTTGTGATGAAGGATTACTTGGCGTTTCAAATAAATGTGATTCAGCAATGCGTTTTGCTACTCAATTGCAATGAATTGTTTTAGTTTTGCTTCATGTTCTGCTGTAGGCAGGAATATAGAGAGAAATGGAATCACAATTTGATAGTATTGATGGAAACTACATTCCAGGCTCATACAAAAATATGGCACCTTTTGCCAGAAAGGCAATGGAAAAAACATTTTACCACACAGGATTTTCACAAACAAGCACTGCAGTTTGTTCAGCACATTAGGAAAGCATGAAAAATACTCGTAAGTCCATTTGGAGAAATAATTTCTTCTCAGATAATGTGCAAACATTCTATTCCTTCCAGATTTTTAGTAACTTTTACCTTTATTGTTTTTGCAGTGCATCCCATCACACCACTGACTTTTTCTTCTGTCTGGATATGTTCGGATATTGTACATCTCTGAGTTGTGATTATCTTTTCTCTCAAGATGCACAGCACTTCACGTTTTCTTTCTATTACTTGTTGCAGTAAACTACTGTTTAGATCTATTGTTCTGGAAAAGAAAAATCCTCCATCAACAATACTATAATTGTGAAAAAAACCCAAAAAACCAAAACCAACCACATTTTCTTAATTGCTTGAAGAATCTTTTATTGCAAAAATGATAATGGTTTCTGTATGTGCAGCTTCCTCTAAATTATGATGTCCTCTTTTGTTATTTTGCAGCAGTAAATATCTGTTTTCCACAGTAAATCCTCACACATATATTGAATTCTTGATTCCCTACTCTGAGCAAAAATGGAAGTTGTCTGGATACTTTCTAAGCAAATTAAAAAGCAAGAGGGAACCAACTTTAAGTTTCCTGGATAATACAAAACCAACCAGTCCAGCTCTTGGACATTGGACTGAATCCTCCGACTGTGAGCTTGCACTGACATTGCCATGGCCATGGCAGGGGGTGCTGGCTGGGGGACACAATGACAGCAATGCCCCAGTGCCAACCCCCACTGCTTGCTATGGATCTGCTGCAGTGCTCTCCTAAACCCCAAACAGGCTGAGTGGGATCAGCACTGACTGAGCATTTCAAAGGGCTGAATGAGAAAACAGGAGATTTCATTGATTTTGAGACTGGGGATTACTGAAAAACCCCACCTGCTTCAAAGTCCTGTGTTATTCATTGGTATAGACTCAAAATTTAAAATTGATGACCAGGACAGTCACAGTCAAAAGAAAAACTAACTGTGGGGGGGAGCTCAAAACTCTAGCCCAGGTACCAACTTAATAAACCATCCCTACTCCACAGCACAATTCAGCATCTGTTTAAATGCTACTGGAAATAATTCTAGCATTAGGTTCTTCTTAAAATGAGCAGAAGACAGAAAGTGAACTCCCAGAAACAATACAGGAGGTTTATTTTCTAAGAAGTTACAAAATCCACTACCTTGTCTTTTAGGGTGTTAACAGACTTTCTGGTAATAGTTAAAGCAATTTCTTGATTGTATTTAATTGATTAAAATGTGTCAGTTATATTATACTTTTGCAAAATATTCACTGGAGGTCCTCAGATGAGATGTTATATTTTTTATGAACAGGTAATCTAGCAGAACTCTTGGAGGATTAAAGGATTGCTATCCCTGACTCAAATTATTCAGTCTTTTCTCCTCCCTTTGTAAATGGCTATTCATGGAGCTAAATGGCAATTTCCCAAAAATGTGACAGAAAGACATGTCTGACTCCAATTCATTTAAATCTAGATATCTCCACTTTTAATTAAAAAGTTTTAGATTTATTAGATTCTGCAGTTCTGAATTTATGCAGTCTGTTTAAGTCTGAAGTCAGATGGGGTTTTTATTGAATTAAAAATATCCTCAGGCAATTTTTGATCTTTGGAGAGTTACATGCTTATATGAAAGTTCAATCAGTTGGAATGAACTGTCTGAAAACCTTAAAGTTGATTGTTTAGACAAGGGAAAGAAAATACCTCTGAAGCAATGCAGCAGCCCCAAACATTCCTGAGATTATTAATATAACCTTTTTTCATTTGCTGCAAAGTCATGCTTTATGCTTGGAATGCAATGAGCCTTTGGATTAAGCAAAAATTCGAGAAACGTCAAGCAACCACAAACCTCACCATTCTCAGAAGTGTCTGCCAAACCAGAGCCATTAGTTACAGTCTATCAAGCCTATCATATACTTCACAATAATTATTTATGTTTCTAAAGTAGTGTGCTAAGCATCCTGAAAATACAAACGAATGCACTAAGAACTTGCAGTTTTAACATTTGACCTAGGGAGCCACAGGGGAAAAATTACAATGAAGAAGCACAAAAGCAACCTGTCATTTGCTTTTATGTGTATCTTTTGACTGTTTAAGAGGATGACAAACTTGCTGACTATCTCCAACAATTACAGGGAAAAAAACCCTCAAACAAAGGTAGAAAAACACCTATTAAATAAAGATTTGCTATTTCTGAGTAAGTGTTAATTGAAGAAGTGTACAGAATATGACCTAACCCGATGCAAATGAATTACCAAACAAATTCAAGAGACTTTTTCTTCCACCCACTTCCACAGTATTCTGCCTGAGGCAGGACTGGCTCAGACCCTGTCACACTCCTGGCTTTGAGGTCCAGATGCAGAAGAAGCAGCAGAGTGGCAGAGCAGAAGACGTTAACTTGCAGGGAGGGGCAGTGAATAAATCCTGGAGGCAATGCTGCAGGAGCCGCTGCAGCACTGAGGGCAATGGAGTGACAGTGACACACAGGGACACAGAGCTACCTGCTGCAGCAGCACACCCCAGGCAGTGCCCAGAGGTGACCTGGGATCCCCTGCACAGAGCTGAATGTGTGCCAGAGACAGCCACTGTCACAGCCCCAAGGTTCAAATGACTTCAGTGGGATGTGTCCCATTGTAAAGCCATCAGAAATGTTCTCGTCTGCCCAGTAAGTTTAGTGAGTTCCAAATTCAGAGCTTTCAAACACATCATCTAGCTCACAGCTACAGAAACCTTTTCTTTGAGGACAGCACAGTTAAGTGCTCTCCTCTAGACTTCTGGCACTGAACTTTCTATCATAAAACAGAACTCTGGGGTTGCATGTAGGCACATCATGAGTTATTAGTGGAGCACAGCCTGTTGAAGGCAAAATATTCTGCCCTCCTCAGCAACTCAAAAAGGAGATGACACGAGGTAAGCAAGTATCCAGCTTATCTAAATTATCACTGAAAACAGTCATCAAGAGCAATCTACAACAGGGTTAAAGTTTGATAATCAAAGCAGGGCTTTAAGTATTGCAGGGCAATGGCCACTGAGTCTATGACTGTATTTTTGCAAGAACTGAACTTACTCGCCAGCATAACACTGAATATAAGAAAATATCTGAGTAACACAAGATGGCCAAGTTGAGAATACATGCATGCAAGGCACATAAACTGTATTGCATTTTTTTTTTATTTTACAGGTCATGTTTCAGAGCTTTAACTTCTGTTCTACAACCATGGCTCTTACCATCTCTTTCACCCTGTACTGTACAAGAGCCCCCACCAATCCTGTGCCATTTGTACTACATCACCATTACCCATCCCACCCCAAGGAGCTCAGCTGAAGCACTCAAAAATAACACTATTGAAAATATAATGAGGTGTTGGTTTGCCAAGTCCCATTATCAACACAGAGAGTACAAGCCTGTATAAATAAAAATTATTTTAAAGATACAAATTATGGGGTTTTGCTTGATTGCTTGTTCTGCTTCAACAACCTTCCTGAGGTCAATGATTTACTATGCTGGAAGCTTTACAGGTCAAACACGTAAATAAAAGAATTTCTTTGAGTTTTGGTCTCACTCCATATTTAACTAGATTAAACACTTCTATTCTCCTATAACGCAAAGACTTCTTTCACCTCCATTCGGTATTTTTCTTCTCGCATTAGGAAAGCAGTATAGAGGCACAAAGGCAATTTGCTGCAGACTGGAGTCAGAAAAGAAAAGAGAAAGGTAGAAACCAAATAAAGACAAGAAAAACCAGACAGCACCTGGCAACATAGCAGGCTCTCACAGTTAATGAAGAGAGTAGGAGCCTGCTCTAAACCCCAGTGCTGAGACTGAGGGTCTTTCCTTTAGGCACAGAACTTCACCTAATTTCCCACAAAGGAGAGGCTGTAGGACCATTTTTCCATCAAATCCTGTCTAACCATCTCAGTAACCCACCCACAAATCCTCAAACCAAGGTACTTGTCAATTTCCTATGAATACCAAGAAGAATGGGTATTGTTGTGAGTACTCTCTATCCCCACATTGAAATCAGCAGTGTTGCCTGTCTGCAAAAATATTCACTGGCCCAAACTACTTACAAGTAAAAAACCTTTTCAGTCCTGTACTGGGCAATGTCACCTCAATACACCTCCTCTCCCAGCTGCAGAGACACAGGCAGCTCATGCTCACAGCTTCTTCTCCACTTCCTTTATCACATGCAATAGTTTGATGCCTTCCATACAAATACTGCTTGTTGCAACGAGAGCCTACACCCAGCTTTGTTCCTGCTCTAACACACATGAGTGTCAGAGAGTAAAATCTCACTCTGCCATTTTCCACCGAGTACAGATGCGTATTTCTTTTGTTAATCCACTTCAAATATAACCTCTCTGACCTACTTCTTACAGAACACAGCATCTGCAATAGTCAGCTTATTGATAGCATTTCACTATTTTCCCTACAGAATAACCTGACACGTACTTCACAGAACATCTTCCCTAAGAATACCAGAGACTTCTCAGACTGCAAGTGACAGTAGTTTCTCTATTTTCTATTTGACATGCTCCTTATTTTTTAAATCACAGGCACACACAATTGATTTTATTCAATCCTGTCTCACAACACTTTGTGACTTCATATTACCTCATGTAGCAGCTTAGGTAGAAAACTGAACGGTTTTCTCATCATGCTCATAAATGCTCAAGGAGTTTTAAACAGTAAATCACAAAATGGTCTGAATTTCCACTGGACTCAGATTAAGAACAGACATTTATTTTTGTCTCAGTATGGACAATACCATACAGTTTCACTAATAAAACTGACGTATGAAAGTATCTTTGAGCCTGGCCAGAGCATGCTGTGAAAAACACAACTCTTTTCCTAATATGCTAATCACAGAGTTAGGAATCATTCACACAAAATGATGGAAGTATGACAGACAATTTTTTCTGCAGCTTATGTGAAATGACTGACTGCTATCACTGTCCTCACAGAACTTCTCATTCAATCACCTTCCATGACTTTTAGTGAAATGGTAAAAAACAAACAAGCAAATTGATTACTATATGAAAAGTACAGAGATTATAATATCCTCATAATCCTTTTTACTGGAGGGAAGAAGACAGAATGGTTGAGGTTGGACAGTTATCTGGTCTAACCTCCCTGCTTTAGCAGGGACACCTAGAGCAGTCTGCCTAGGATTGTGTCTCCAAGGTGCAGAACTCCACAGCCTCCTCAGGCAACCCGGGCTCAGTGTCACCCTCAGAGAGAAAAAGAGTGTCCTGATGTTCAGACAGAGCCTCTGTGTCTCAGATTGTGTCTACTCCTTTCTGCTCTGTCTCTGGACACCATTGGACACCACTGGAAGTGGCTCATCCAGCCTATACTTACCAACTTCTCTAAGAGGACCTTATGGCAGACAGTACTGAAAGATTTAAAATAGAAGATGGAATATAGTATCTTAAATCCATAGCAAACCAAGCGAGCTAAAGGCACAGGACTCTGCCTCAAATCATGTACGTATCAGTATGTTACAGTGCTCTGTGAACTAGCAAGCACCATGCAATACAAAATCAAAAGTAATGTAAAGGCAAATATGCCAAATTTGTGTACCTAAAACTATTGTTCAACTTTATTTTAGGTATCGCCTATGATGCTAATTATTGTGCTCTGCATTTACAATGTCACTGCTTCTGCAAACCAGGAAGCATCTCATCCCACATCCTTCAGCTGTCACCCTTTTTCAGAAAAAGGAGCTAATGAAGCATTTGGAATCTAATTAAAAGATCAGTAGGATTCTCCTTCAGCAGGTTCACCTAAGAATTGACAGGAAACTAATTTCCTGCCACTGAGGACTTTCAGCTTGCTCAACTCTGAAGACTCACATAACTTATTTTAAAAGGCACATCAGCTTTGACTTTTTAGAGTTTCCTGCTACTAATCTGCAACTTTGACTTAATCGGCCTAATACACGAACATTTTAAAAATACAACTTAATTAGGTTATATATGTAGAAATAATAAATGTAGCAATGATTGATCAAACAAGTAAAAGGACCACACGTTGTTAAATGACATGAAGAACAGTTTGCTGACTCACATTTCACAAGGCCTGAAAGGATAAACATGCTCTTTTAAGTACTGTAATGTTTTGCATTCAAAATCACTAACTTGTAGGTATCAGCACTCCTGAATTCCACACAATACTCATGAACGAGATGAAAGGCTGAAGCTTGGACACAATCAATCATAAATCATAGAATATTTATGAACCAGTAAGTAGAATTTCATCTATAAGGCATTGCCAACAACTTTCAGTGAGCCTCTGCATTACACTAGAGAAAAAAAAAATCTGCTATCTTCATCATTTTCAGAGACCTGGCAGAAGGCAGACTGACTCAGTTTCAATTATACACTGTGCATCATAAGCTTTAATAAGCTCTGAGCATCTTTTTTATGAACTAAGACCTACTGCCTTGCATAAAGTGGCACACACAACAACTCCAGTTAACAGTCAAACATAGATCAGTGTAGAGCTACTGATTTTCAACACTCAAAAGAAGATAATATGTTTTTGAGTATTTGGTTACATAAAGGATTGTAACTCCAAGATGTGCTGATTTGCTGTGGGAGGATTCTTTCTGTGAGCAGAGTAGGTAACTTCAAGTAAAAGCTTACTGATCCTAAATCAAAGTTACTGTAGTTTGTTTCTCCATAGGACTCTACCTAGTGCTAGAAACAAGACTCTAAATCTTGACTGACACTATTTTCTTCATACTAGATGCAGATTAATTTTACAGGCTTGGTACACACATTACCCCAGTATTTTCTGCTTTTAATAAGGCATTTAGTACAAAGAGAGCAAGGTGCCTTATTAGAATAAATTTGTTGACTTGTGAACGCTCACAATAAAAGGAACACCAGCCATTTGTTCCCATGAAAATGGAGAATTGATTATTTCTGGAACATCAGGGTATCTAAAGCAAATTTACATTGCTTCTGACAACTTCTGCACTGATAGCAAAAACCTATCATCTTTACCTTCAGAGCATCAGCAAAAGCTATTTAAATTCATTACAGCCCCTGCCACAGATCTAGAGTACAACGCTGTCACGAACGAAGCACTCTCATCTCCCATTGAGCCTCGACCTGCAATTGAGAGAGCAGACCCCTGACTTGTCAGCTGGCTGCCAAATAGGCTTTGGTCCATGACACCCACATTGCAACATTAAATAGATCCCATTTCAGAGTAGGACAGGAAGTGAGAAAGCGTTGCATATATTGGAAAATAAAGAATATGGCTCCCCTCAGTTAACAGAGTGTATAGCAGGAAGCAACAGATCTATATTTTGTTCAGCTAGTAGAATATGCCCTGACTATGCTTGCTCACCTTTGCTATTCCTTTAACTTTGGATAATCCCACTTTCTAGCATGGTCACTCACACACACAAAATTACAAAGCCTGCTTACAAGAACATTAGCAGTTCTGAATTCAATTTCCACATTCAATGCCCCACTAACACAGAGAACTAATTCTTTTTTTTTTTTCCAGATTGTTACCTCAGTACAGTCCCCCAAAGAAGGGAGGATTTGGCTCTTGTCCCAGGTGGTAATTCATGCAAAAATGTAAAATGAAATAACAGAGAGATGTTTTTAAAACAAGAAAGGGAAAAGTCTGACTAACAAGATTTCAAAATATGGAGAATTCCATTTTTGTATATATGATTTGTCATGAATATGAAAGCTTGCAATAAAAATAATTTTCAAACTGTGGCAACACTACAAAATCAATTGGTTGGTGATCACAGCTGGCCCAAGCCTTTTCAGCTCAGTAATCTCTCCTGGCCACTACAACACCCACAGTAGAAACATACCTGTCCTTGACATCTTTCATAAGCTGCTGCAAGTCAACCTCCTGCTTCCTCAGGTTTCCAAATGAGGATTGGTTTTCCACGTAACCCTTCCCTCCAGCTCCCAGGCTGAACTTCACAAATGATGTTTCAATACTTCCTTGAACAAAATCTTCAAACTTCCCCATATATTTTGCAAAGTCAGACTCCACAATCACTAGGAAAGCAATAACAATAATTTCTGTGAAGCGAAGTGCTGAAACTGTCCTGAAGTGATTGGAGGAACAGATACTTACAGAAAATATGACAAGTTAGCAAAGGCAAGGAACAGTATGAAGAGGTAAATAATGAAATTTACATCTCTGCAACTCTTGCATCTGCTCTCTTCATGTTTTCATCATCTTTTCTCTACTATCTTTAGTATTCTGCCATTTTAGGAAAACATAAGGTGACTGTAGTGCTGAACTCAGACACTATGAAATATTTATAAAGAATGATTGAAAGTTATTTCAGCTACAAAGAAAACTACAAAGCAGACATGCTTGTACAGTAGTGCTAGTATTTTGGCATTATTTTGACACATCACAGGGCTGTCACAAAGCTCACTGAAAACCAGTGGAAAAATCTAACTGGTTTAAAACAATTCTGAATTTTATATATCTAAAAAACAGAGAGCTGACTCAGAATCAGCTATATTTCCAAGCCAGCTATAAATTAACATATTAGGTTAGGGAGTTATCTATTTTCCTGTGTGGAATTATGACATGTCCAGAAACATGGGATTCCATCTCATTAATCTTAAAACATGGGTGGGACTACTATAGTTGGATGAAGAAAAAAGTACAAGGGTCAACCTTCTTTAACAGTCTATGCAAGACAAACAATGGGTGGTAAAACTCACTTGGCCCGGCCTGGAAACGCTCCCTGGGCTACTAACACCAACAAGACACTGTTTATTCACTGCTTTTGACCTGAAGCACAGTACAGTCTCACACTACTATCACTTACAACCCCCTATAATATTCTAGGGATATTCCCATAGCTGCAAGACAGCTACTGTTATTGAACAGTAGGACTACACAGCCTGACAACGTTCAGCACTTAATTTAACACTCTACTCGGGCAAAATTTTCTTCTTATTTTAACCAACACTTATTACTACCAGTTTTAGTTACATAAATGGTCAAGTGAGAAAAGATCCATTAGTCTCCTTCCCATGGATGGAGGATTCCTTCAGAGCATTCCTCTGAAAGGAGCCCTGTAATAACATTAATTGAGAATAATAACAAAACAGATTGGGGATTGTACTGTTTTTATCTGCACTGACAGTGCTGCCCAAGTATGGCTTTACCTGGTTTTATTGGTTTGTCTTCAGTAAGCACATCACTCAGGGTCACTGTCAAGAAGTGATACTTGGGCTTCTGCCAGCACCAGAATTTCCTCCTCTTCGTAACTAAGCTCAAAAGCTGCAGCTTGTCTGAGGCGTTCAAGTGGGAGACAGGGATCAAGTCACCTCCACTGTCAGTTTCTCTCACAAAATTCTTCGTTGCTTTTGCAAACATCGTGGGGAATCAGTTAAAGCCTGAAAGAATGCATGTGTTTTCAGACAACTGCAGTTGGAAAGTATAAATATTTACACTGTCCTTTTAAGAAGTCCTTCACAGAACTGGTATTAACAAAGGAACACCCATGGTGTTTTCACCCCATCTTCTCCACTCCGAGCTGGGAAGGAGTTCAAATCACTTGTCCCAGTGTAAGTTTTCTCAGTAACTAATAAAAGAATTCTAGTTAAGAGGAACATTCACAGGTTGCTAATCTGTTAGGGAGGAAAAACTTGCACAGCTTACCTGAAATTCTATGAAAAAGCATCTACTACTAATGAGCACCCCGTAGAGACCAGCTGTGATGAGGAGAGCACTGGGGCAATGGCAGAGGATTTCTGCCTCCCCACAGGATCCTTCTTTTATTACCTAACATAAAACTTACTCCACATAAGGCAATTAGGTATTACTCACACAAATTATCTTGATCTTTTTAATGGGGAGTGAACACATGGATAGATAATAACAGCTGTTCTATAAAAAGCACCAAATACATGAGCTGGCATCTTTGTTACTAAATTTTGTTTCTGAACTACAACCCTGGAAAGTTCCAATTAATTTTTTTATTTATGAACTCTTTTTTACCTTCAATGTTTTTCTATTTTTTTATTTGCATAACTACAGCTAAATTGAACATACATTATTTGCAACTGTTATTTACAACTGTTATTCATATCCCCTACACAACTACATACTGTTGCTTTGCAATGATTTTAATTAAAAATTACCAGCATCTCTTATAACACGAGGCTTTCCTTATCCCTGGGAATGTATTTTACTGTATTTACAAGGAATGTCTTCCAGTAAGGCAGACTGACTGAATTCACAGAAGAAATGGTAAAAATGACCATTCAAAGGTGCTAAACAAATAATTCTAATAAATTAATATTTGATCTTTTTAAAGAATCTTTCTAGTTTTTCAACTCTGTGTTATCTGAGCTAATGATAGCTCCAGAATTAAATCAGGGTTTTTTTTAAATCCATCAGCATTCCTTTAAGTCCCCCAGCTGACACTGACTGGAAAGTTCAACTAAGATCGTAAGACGTCTCAGCTGGGTATTCACACTTCCATGATTAATTACCTGTCTTGCTCCACACAGATCTTAGATTTCTCATTTACAAACACAGACCACAGTAAAACAGGACAAACAGGACTTCAACCAAAAACTGATACTGCAGTGAGCACTCAGGATGATTGACAATGGAAGATGGAAACCTGAATAAGATTATTAGTGCTTGGACCACAGGCTCTGTATTTTATTATTAGTGAAAAAAGCCTTTTTGCAGACACAAGCTTACCTGTCATTAGTTTTTCCCAAATCCCATTTCAGATATTCCACACAGTATTTAGCAATTTATGAAGAGGTATTTACTTCCTCATCAATCCTCTATGGATTAGCCTGCGTAACAAATAAAGGGTGTTTTCCAACAACACCTGCATCAAAAGGATTTGAGCAATGTCTAAGTCGCATAACATCTTACTGAAGAGTCTTCTGGGGCTTTCACTGCAACTGCAGCAAACCCTGCAGCACAACCTCAGCTGTGGGCACTGGGAGTATTTCCAGTGACTTCCTGCTCTCTGACCTTCTCTTAAACTCAACCCAGATTGATTTTTTGCATTCTTATGTGTCCCCTCCTTAATCTCTCTGGCTTTAATCTCAGTGAGAACATTTTTAACAGAATAAAGCAGTGCAGATCCACTGCAGCAAAAAAGGAAAAAACCCAAATAAAACTACAAACCAAAACTAGTTTCCTTTATCCACAGGACTTCTTTTGCAGGAGTCTGTATTTTGCAAACAGCCAGATGACTGATTTGTTATCAGGAAGATAACGAAGGGGACAAACAAGAAAATTCTCACTGCCTGCATTAGTTGCCTTTGCCCAGCATAACCTTACACAAACATTTTTGTACTTTAGATGACAGCTCACCCACCCTGATCCCCTAACTGCACAGCCAGCTCACACAGGCATGGTCTCTGGGAAAAAATGTTAAAAAGGCCACCAATTTCTGAGTTTATCATAAAACTAATTGCAAAACCAGGTCCTAATATTTAGCATTCTTACAAATTCACTAAATCTCCGGTCTGTGAAACTTCCAATTCACAGTGTTTTGCCTTCATTCCCCAGCACCACTCTTGACTAGCAAAAGGAACATCCAGGGAAGAGGACAGAGTTCTTCTGAGGACTAGCAAGACTCACCACGCAGGAGAGATGGGGCAGTTTTCTGCCTCAAAATGATGGCAGTGTCTCCCACACTTTGTTGTGCTGGTAATGTCTTTGCAGGGAGCATATTTTGCCGGTGTAGAAGTACCTGCAAATCAAGAATATTCTATCCCAATTCCTGCTTATTTATCTTTGGATATAGCACCCTTAACACAAATTTTACAATGCACCCAAATACCTTGCTTCGCTACTTCCCAGAACAAAGACACAGAGCAATTATGCCCCTAGCAAAGATCAGGGGGTTAATACAGCCACAAGGCTCGGCAGCATCCTGAATCAGTGGACAGGGAGTGGTTACAGACCCAGCTTTAAGAAAGCTTTGCCTTGGGAGCTTCTTCCTCTGCAAATTTTAATAGACCTGTGCTTGGTTTGACAGAAATAAAAAGGTATCAAGCAGGTAGGAAATGCCCATCAGAGTGAATTCACTCTTGCAGATTGACAGCTATGCATGGAAGAGAAAAGGAAGGAGGAGTACCTTCCTTGCCTATCAAGAAATCTAAAATTAGCCTGAAACCGGACTACAGGAAGATTATTTAATGGCAAGGATGAGAACAAAAGAAGACAATGAAACTAATTTCACTGTTTACCTAAACAAACAAATCTCATCCCTGCTTCTTTACTTGGTAGCTCCCTAACTCAGTATAGTGGGACATTAAATCCAAAGTGACATTTTATGAGCAACTGGTGTTTGCCTGTGACACTATAAAAGAAACCAAACAGTTGCCTGATATTTCTTACATTCTGTATCTTTCACATAAAATACAATTTTATTTTTTTTAAATTCAGCCTAAGATCCAAGTTGTAAGGAAATACAACGCCTGAAAGCCAAAGAGAAAGCCTTTTAAAGACTAAAGCCTTAGCGCTGGAAGAGCTGTTAGGCATTAACCACAGTGTAGGAGTGGTAATGGCCTTGGAATCCTAAAGGAGTATGAGTCTGTATCCGAAGGGAACTGGAACATGGAAGTGACGACATGCACATTACATGTTTTATTCAAGAACATTACACTTACTTTCACCTCTTCCCTAGATAATTAACATTAAAAACAAAAAAGCACCCATAAGAGCTAATACACAAAGCCCAGCCGGGCTGCCCACACAATGCATTACAGGTTTTGAATGCAGTAGTCCCCAAAGCCACCTCTGAAAGATTTCAGCCCTGGCTGAGCTCTCCGTTTGCGCCTCGAGGACTCTGCAGCACGTGCCTCCACACACCGGTGCCGCAGCCTCGGGCACCCCGGCGAGATGCGGCGCCTTTCCCCGGCCGTGGGCGCCGTCCCGCGGGCTGCGAGGGCGGAGGGAAGGCCCCGCGCTGCCCCGGCGCTGGGTGCGCGGTCCCGCCCGCCTCTCCGGGAGCGGCTCGGGCAGGGGAGCATCGCCCCGCCGCGCCCCCGCTCAGAGCCCCGCACCGCGGCCATTCGCTCCCCGCGGGGCGGGCAGGACAGCGGGGCGCGGAGGCCGCAGCCGCTGATGGTGCGCCGCGGCAGGGCGGAGTGGCAGCGGCGGGGGAGGTGGGCAGGGCCGGGCCGCACCGCCGCCCCGGGCCCGCTCCCGTACTCACGGCATTCCCGGCGCTCCCCGCCGCCTCTACCGGGGATGCGGCGCACTCCGCCCGCGGGGCGTGACGAGTCCGCCGCGCCCCAGGCGAGGGCCCGCGGGCGAAGCTCAGCGAGCAGGTCCCGCAGCAGCGGGGGCTCCGTGCCGGGAGCGGCGCGGCGGGGGCAGCGCAGGCCCCGCCCGGGTGCCCGGGCCTTGCGGGCGGGCGGGATCCGCGCCCGGGGCGCCTCCGCCATGTTGAGGCGCGGGGCCGCCGCCCAGCACAGGGCAGCGGGCGGGGGCCGGGGCGCTGCCCGCCGCCCTGCGAACCCTCGGGGCGGCTTCTCCCTCCCTCGGAATCCCGCCCGTCTGCCCGAGCTCCCTCGGGCGCTGAGCGTCCTGCCGTGAGGGTTGGAACGAAGGGCTGCAAGTGTCCGTGTGCGTGGGGCGGTGGCCCGGCACAAGCCCCCCACGGCAGGTCTGGGTGTGGGGCAGCCCTGTGAGTGGGCTGCTGGAGGATTCCCACTGGGATGGGACAGACGGTTTTGTATGGCTGCACCTTGGCAGATAACACTGGCAGCTGTCTTTCTTTCCATGTAATTGCGTGACAGCGATGTTCTATGACACTTGTGATAAGGACATCTTTGTGACAGGCTCTCAAGCCCGGCTCGGGTCGCCCGTGCTCAGAAGTGCACGGGGCCGGTGCGAAGTCCGCTGAAAACAGCAGCACTGCCACGGTTTTGGCTGCGAGTTTGCAGCTCTGGGTTGGCACTGCGGGCCTTGTGAAGCCGCTGTGGACCGAACGGGAACTCCCAAGTCAGGGTCCCCAGTCCAGGACCTTGAACGGCAGCACTGTGGAAAATGAGAAGTGTGGTCAGCGGGGCCTGGGGCAGGTTGGTGAACCGCAGTGTGAAATACTGAGCGCTGTCACAGTATCTCAGCCGTCTGAAAACACCACAATGAAAAAACTTGGTTGTTTATGATGCCAAAGGAGTGATCCGGTAAGAAACAGATGAGTCTGAAAAACCCCAAAGAGTGTTTTTTTCATGATAATAAATATCAAATAAAACTTTTTCAAGTGAACCATGCCTCAGGCTGGGTACTTCCCTTTTGTTTCGAACATCACCAGACCTTAATAGGCTAACACCCTGACTTCGGAACAAAGGGAAGGGGAAAGCTTAATGTCTTTAAATGAACAGTCCTGGGTGAAAGGTATCAGTAGATGCACATAGGTAGAGTAGACCAATTTCTTCTGTTTAGCTATGTGCAGCATCGAAACCTTCCAATGAATTTCAGCTGATTTTAGTCCATCACTTCTTTCTGATTTCCCCAGGTGACATCCTTATTGATTGAATGATAAAACATCTTCATTCTGGGGTTGCACCTGCTTACAGAAATTTGAACAAATAGTCAGAATTGAACTAAGTACCTGTATTTGTGATAGTTTAAATTTTCTGAACTAATGAAATTTATAAAGCTCCATTCTTACAGCCCCTGCCTGAGAAAAAGTACCCACACATCTTTGGGAGATCTCTTTTTAGGATCAGCACTGAGCTGCAGAATTGCTAGCTCCAGTAGTAATCTGGCCAGTAATAGCACACGTTTCATAAGCCATCATGTGTTTTTCCAGGGAGTGGCAATGTGTGATGTGTTTCAAATGCAAGAGTCTGCTAAAGCATATTTTGAGAAATCAGGGAGGAAGTTGCACTGAACCACATTGCTATGGAAATATCCACTGGGGAGGTAGGACTTAAATAAAACTAGTGAAACTTGCTGGTAATTTTAAGGACACTACTAGCAGTTACATGTACACCAAATAGAGGGTATCCACACCAGGAATATTTAAATGTTTTTTAAGAAAAAGTCTTCAACAGAAATCTTCTATCCATCTGAATAGCACCAGCTGACATAGGGTAATTTTCAGATGCATCTAAATGACTAGAAGAAACAGAAACACAGGTTGTTAGCAAACAGTTTTGGGGCTATGCAGCAATTAACTTTGAGGCTTCAAAGTCTGTCACAGAAACTGGCTTGCAGCTGAGAGACATTTAGGACTGAACACCACCTTGAGCATTCAGTCTTGGTGGAAATGCTCTTCAGCAGGCCCGCAGTGCCAACCCAGAGCTGCAAACTTGCAGCCAAAACCTGTCCATCTTTGCACTGGACAGTCAAAATTCCCAGCCCGTGGTTACTCCATGTTCAGCTGGAATGCCAGCAGGGAGGATGTTGAGTCAGAGAACTACTCAAAGGATGCATGGTCTGTCAGCCACAGACTCCATCTCCTGAGCTGAAGCATGAACTGCATCACTTTGGTGTTAGAAGATCCTTCTACATTGCTCCTGTGTGAGAAGATCATCTTGCAGAAGGAGCAGAGGGAGAAAACCAGAAACTTTTGCCTCTGGACCAAACTGCTCTTAGTATGGGATGAGTTCTGGCTACCTTTTAAATAAGTAAAGTGAGGCAAATGGCTTCACAGCCACAAATAAAAAATGAGTAATGCACATAATAAGTGAGTAATAACACAAAATACAGTAATCTGAAAGGGAAAAAAAGACCCCGGCAAAATAGTTGCAAGCTTTTTGAGTATGGCTGTGTGAAATTCCTTGGGTAAGACATTAAAAAAAATTACTGAGCATGCCACCACAAGATGTCAGCATTGCAGAATGGTTATTCCTGCCAGAAACAGAAAAGGTTTTTGCATCCTATATGCATTTGGTATTAGATTTAATTGTTTTTGTATGATGGCATAATCTGGCCTTATTTTTTTAAAACCATTGACATTATGATGTCAGTCCAAATTTAATTGCAAGGGAGAATTTCTTAAACTGCTTTTTAAAAATTAACTCTATCTTAAAAACTTCTAAAAATGCTTTCACAGCATGAACAGCAGTACTAATGGCAAATAATACCTTGTAGCCATCAATGTGTTGTTTCAGGCTGCATCCAGCCTGGCTAGAAAGCGCTCACTAAAATTGTGCCTGTTTTTGAGGTGTCCAGAGGTCATCCAAAGGTTGCTGCTGCTCCATGCTAGCCCTTTATAAAACCCTCATGCTGGCTGGGGAAGGCTCTGCTGGCCTTAGTTCTGTGGACGAACTAGGAAGAAAATGTGAAGATATTTTGGGTTTCTATTTAGAAGAGAATGGATATTTGGGGTAGCAAGTCTTTTAAAAGGTGTCCAGCAACACAAGCCAAATCACCAGCAAAAGAATTCTTGTTTTTTTCTACACTCCTTTTTGTAAGAATAAAAGATCTGAGCAACAGTTTTTGTTTGTTTCTGCATTTCTTTCAAATCAACTAACCAGCCTCATTTTTCTTCCACATTGAAATTCATGTCCTGTTTTGCTGGGATGCTCTGTACTTTTTGCCTCTTCCATTCTGTCCTCTGAAACATTTCCTGTTGCACACAACAGCTTTCTCCCTCTCCTGCTGTTATGGCTGTCACCAGCCCTGCCACCGTGCCAGCAGCAAGTGACAGGCTTAGCAAGGGACCGTGTCCTGAGAAGGGGAGATGAGTGGGAGGGTGCAGTGAGCCAGGAGGGGCTGTGTGAGTTCAAAACAGCCAAAGAACCCTTCTGCTGTGCTTCCCTACCTGTTCATGCTAGCTTCTGTGCTTCTGCTCTTGACGATGGGAAGGTGACATCTTTAACCATCTGAAGATTTTGCTGTAAGATGAGTTCGGCCACTCTTTAGAGGCTATCTTGTATTGCAAGGTTCAACTCTGCTACCTTTACAGACCAATATGAGGAAAACAGAGTTCACTTCTGGATCTTCTAGTCCCAGGGAAGGACCACTGCAGAGTGCCATGGTGAGATGCAGAAGGAGACCAACGTGTTCAGCACAACCTGTTTGCTGTAACTCAGTCAGAGCTCTGCCTTCAGCACAGATGTTGGCATGGGGGAAAGCAGTGCCACACCTGCTTTCTGTAGTGCACAGGTTGTGTGCTTTGCTCCTCTTTCTGTCCAACCATGCGATGATTCTGTGAGGTCTCCAATAGTAATATGGAGAACAATTTGCAAGAATTTGCATAAACCTGTTGCTTCTGACTTTAAATTGTGGATTAGATGGCAGCCACAGAACTTTATTTCTTTTACAACAGTGATAAATGAAGACTTAGGAATAGATAACATTTCTTGCACATCTCAAAAGCCTTCCATAATAGTTTATTAGAAACCATCTGGTTTCATTAATGTTTTATCAAATACCATCTGGTTGCTATATTGTTCAAGCTATTTAGTAGTAAAACTTGCTCATAAATTAGCCAGAATGAATGGCTATCAAACTATTGTGTAGGAGCCCCAAACAACTTTCATGTAGGTCCTATATAAACAGTTATTTTAAAAGTATTAGACTACACTAAACTTCAACATTAAACTTCAAAAGTCTAGAAAATGTATCAGTAATAAAATCTAAAATTTAGCTCATTCCTCAAGCTTCTTAATTTTTTTTTCCCTCTTTTCTACATGTTTAATTCTTGGCCAGTTGGAACAGGAGTGACAAAGTCAAAATGACACACTGTATTTAAATAAAGATTACTAGAATTTTGTTGTTCAATGATACATTGCAAACAGAATACCTGTCACCATGCCTCCAAAAAGTGAAGCCCTCCATCTTTGTATCTCTGCACATGTACACTTTTCAGACTGTAAGCACTCTGCCAGGGTTTCTGGCACTGCTCTGAAATCTAACTGTACAGCAGCACAGGGCACCATTCAGAGTTGCACAGTGCCTACTACTATGGGCAGGTAGGTTTGATTGTAAATGCTTACCTAATATACATTGTTTTAATAAATTGTACTTCTACTCATAATTATTTTCCTGTTACATTTTCAGATCACTCATAATTATTTTACTGTTACATTTTCAAAAAATGTCACCCTAAAATTAGGGCAGTTCCTTGTGATTTTGTTATTTATAGACAACCTTAAAGTTACTATGAATGGAAGAACTAAGGCAAGCATATCTAAAGAACACATGGAAGATTTAGGACAAAATTGGCAAAGCAACAGGAGGTAGAAGATCCCTGGGAAAGAGCCCACGGCTCAAGCTGCCTGTAGAGAGAAAAGCTGGCTGTAAGTTTTCCTTGATCAGCTCTACAGATTTGTTATACTTCATGCAATTCCTTTTGCATCCTCTGAATGCGTATGCACAAGCATCCTCAAAAAACCTCATTATCCACCTGTGGGAGCAAATGATTTGGGCAGAATTTTCTGAAGAACGGGCAGTATGTGATTGCAGTCCCTCACGGGGCAGCCAGCTGGATGGTGTTTGTGTTGTGCTGCTGCAAAACTGGAGCATGGCCATAGTCAAACCTTGCAAAATGTTCAGAAGCTAACATTACTATTTCATTGAGTAACACCAGGTGCATGTTGTCATGTACTACATTTGTAGAAATAGCTTTATTGTGATTTAAAACAAATTCTCTGTCTCCCTTTTGGTTTTTGTGTCTCCTTTGTTTTCTTTTCTAGTTGTTTTGCAATTCCATAATCCCCCTTCTCATTACCTGTTGTCAGCTCAGTCTCTCTTGCAGAAACTACAGCAGAAATACCTGTTCTGGGACAATCTGAAAGGGGTTTCTCCAGAACAAAAAAGAAAAAAAATAGAAAAGTAGTTTTAAGTGCCCACAAAGATAGAAATTGAGAATTTTGTTAAGTGATCTTTTAAGCAAGCCATAGCCCATAAAAGTGGCAGATGCATTGAGGAGAAGACCACAAACAGCAAAGAAGTCAGTGGCTACAGGGGGTCCTGAGGAGTGGTGAGGCTGCTTTGCTCCTACAAGTGAGTCAGGATTCCTGCAGCTTCCCAGGGGCTCTGCAGCAGGAGCTGCCAGGAGCTGTCTGCATCTTCTGCTGTAGAAACACACACCGCAGAGGAGGACAGAAGTTAAAACCCCATCCAATTTCCCACAGGGGTGACAGCCCCATTGGATACCAAGAGGAAGCCCTCATGTTTCTTCTTAAAGTCACTTCATTTTTCAGCTTGCTATTGCTCCTCCTAATTTCAGCATGTGAAGTGTTTGCTTTTCGGCATCCTACAGGCAGTGGGGTAAGAACAGTGGGTGAGAACTGGGTTTTTCCCACAAAAAGGAACAGGATGAAAAAGGAACACAGTTCTTTTTGAAACAAGGAGCAAGGGCAGGCAAGCAGCTAAAAAGTATGTGGGCTGGTAATTTCATGGGAGCTCTTTTTATATTACGCAACAGTGTTGCCCAAAAGGACAGCAGGTACCATAAAGAGGGTGCTTTGGGTAAAAACAGATTGGTAGATATAAAAGCAAGCAGCTTAAAGACTGAGTCCCAGTCTGGGCTTCTCAGCACAAGAGACACATGGAGCTCCTGGCGCAGGTCCAGCAGAGGGCTACAGAGATCATTAAGGGACTGGAGCATCTCTGTTTCCAGGCTGTGGGAGCTGGGCCTGTTCAGCCTCGAGAAGGGATGACTGAGAGGGAACCTCACCAATGTCTGTCAGTGTCTGAGGGGAGGGAGCCAAGAGGATGGAGCCAGGCTGCTCCCAGGGGTGCTGAGCAATAGGACAAGAGGTGATGGGCAGAAACTGCTGCACAGGAAATTCCACGTGAACACGAGGAAGAACTCCTTTACTGTGTGAGTGACCCCACACTGGAACAAGTTGCCCAGAGGGGATGTGGAGTGTCTCTTGCTGGAGACACTCAAGAACTGTCTGGGTGCAATCCTGTGCCATGTGCCCTAGGATGACTCTGCTTGAGCAGGGAGGTTGGGCCAGATGATCAAATGTGGTCCCTTCCAACCTGACTGATTTTGTGAAAAGGCTGCAGCTGTCCTTCTGAACAGAGTGGAAACTACAGAGCAGTCATTGTCCTGCAAATTTATACTGATGGTGGCCCAGGACAGAGTCACACAACTCCAGGTTATTGACACTCTTTGTTACATTGCAGTTCCACTGCAGACCAGGTCTTCACTATGCTGGAAAAGAACCTTGTGTATGAAATTAAGTGCTGGCCTCTTCTCTGACAATTAAAAATGTAATTTATTTGCTTCATCACAGGACTAAAACTGGTGTCCTTGCTGCTTGTACTGCCCCTGTTTATCTGAATGGGGCAGTGATTTGGGTGAACGGCATCTGTAACAGGTGATACAAGTACCCTTGGGTGGATGGCTTTCTTCCTGCCAGAGACAACTCCCTGCAGCTGGGAGATGGGATTGTGCTTCTCCTGCAGAACTGGTTGCTGTCAGCTTGAGGTGGGGTTTATTTGGTTCTCCCACAGTTACTGTCCAGCCTCAGCAATGCCAATGTACACAATGTGAGCAATACAGTTTCTAAAAGAGAAGGAAGACCAGCTGTGTCCTGAGAGGAAGCATTATTGGGAAAGGAAACAATGAACACCCCTGGGGAAGCATGAACTGCAGTTACTCATTTTTCTTAGGACCTCATGACTGCACACTTCAATAATCATAGTTCAACATATACTCTTTCCTCTCATTCCTTTCTCCCATGATGTCAAACAACCAATTCATGTTGCTATCAAGACCAAAGCATTCACCTGAGCATCAGCTTTAGGAAGCTTTGCACCTATATAAAGTACAATGGAGCTCCTACTAGGGCTTTTTTTCCCCCCTGTGATGTGGCACATGCTCTTTTTCAGTTCCTGATATTCACAAATGGTGAGATTATAACATCCTGGAGTTCTCTACCCTGCATCACCTTTAACTGAAGCTTCAGTCTGTCTCCAGAATGAAAGGAGACATGTTAAGGAAGAGCTAGGCTCCCCATCCTTTAGTAACTAGAGAACTCAGAAAAAGTCAAGCTTGCCCTAACTGACCTCTTTGCAGGCACAGTCCTTAGTAGAAGATTTTCCCCACCACAAACTTTCATAATTTGGTATGCTATTTCTAAACCTTATAAGAAAAATATATTTTTCCATCCAAAAAACCTATATAGCTCTAGTTGCATTTACAGGGTTTGCTTCATTGGCTGAAGTGCAAGTAGCAAACAATGAATACAAGTAGTATGACCTCTTGACTTCACTCCATCTTCAGCCTGTCAATTGCCAAAATTATAACAAACCTTGCAGTAAACAAAACTGTAAATCTCTTTCAGCTATTAGACAGGTTCTCATCTACTGATAAATCTACATAATCTTCCTTGCCTTAGGCAGCAATCTAGGCATTGCAGACATATCCTCATAAAAACCTAAGGAGAGGATTTTTCAAGGCATGTACTGCAGTAATTCAAAGTTGCCTTACTGCAACCTTTATTTCTTTTTTTAAACACAAGCTGAAAAGGAATTTGTAATTTTGGAAAACAATTTTTATCAAGAAGTTTTAATAAAGACAAACAATGTTAAGCAAGCAAAAAAAGTACTTTTGAATTTTAACAGCTGGTTTTACTAGAATAGTATGTGAAACATCAGCACACAAAATCCTCAAGGATAAGTAGTACCCTCATATTTAGAGGAAGACAATAATTCCTGGAGTCTGAAATTACAGTCAGAAACATCGGATGTTCACACACAACATCTTATGTTCCAGGAATTTATTACTGTTTCAATTTATTACTGTTTCAAGAGCCTGTAAAAACTTATATCATCGAGCCCACAGAGAGAAATTCTCAGTTAACTCAAGCCTCAATTACATTCAACTCAGTAGAGCAATGTTGATTTACCTCAAATGAGAGTTTGCACAAAGTAATTTCAAATATTTCCCTAGGTACAGAGTAAGCAAAGATACAAATTCGTAAGTATACATAAGAATTTGGATTCTGGCCAGCATTTAACCCCATTTAAAAACAGATAATAACCCTACAAATTCTTTTGCATAAAACAGAGAGATCTAAATTAAAAACCAATAAACCATGCACAGAGAGCAACTTTTGCAACCTGAAAGAAATATAAGGAACATATAATTATGTATTATATATATAATACATAATTTATAGAGGCATAAAAAAACAACAACAAAAAAGCCAAGATGTGTTGGTTACTATGTAGAGCAAGCTTTGCTCAGCTGTCATTGTTTTTCCTCATCCTATGAAGGTTTGAATCATTTTGCAGTAAGCAAAATGAGTTTTAAATAGAGATTATTGTAAATGAAAAGACAACTGAGCTTAAACACAAATTGGATGCAAGTTCTACACAAGCCAAGTTGATCTTGCAGTTCTGTAGAGGAGAAGAGCCTGTTTTGTCTGGGTAGCACTGTGGGCATTTGGCATGGCATTAGCTTGAGGGATGGTCATGAGAAATTCACTCCATATCCATTTCTCTGTAAGAGAAATTCCTGCTGCCCTGAGTGCTCATGAGTGGGGCACCAATAATGAGCATCCCTTGCAACCTTCCTCTCCCTTTTACAATTACGAAAAAAATACTACTGCTTCTATAAACCAGAACTTTCCCAGCAACTTGAACTAAATGCTAGTTATTTCAGATACCAATTAAACAGTATCAGATCTCTATGAAATAATCAGCAATGAAATAATTCCCCCTGACACAATGAGAAAGTTCCAAAGTTCTTAACCCAATAGAACCGATATGGCTGGATTTCAAAAAACCAGGAGCTGATTCTGGCCCACTGTAAAGACTGTTTTTCTTTTTGGCCTCTATCCTGATTTTGCCATATTCAACAGTGGAGGATATTTTGCATGGTAACAAATGTATAGATCGAGTTTTCCCAGCTCTTCCTGAAAGCTCCATGCTCCCTCCCACCAAATCTTTGTAGACGCTGAGGCTGCAAAGTGCTGCAGACCTGCAGTCAGGAATTTCACGTTGGTCAGGAGTTACACTCACTGTACTCCCACAGTTTTCAACATCCTAGTCTGTCCCTATTGCATCTTACACACATATGGTGGGACTGTGAGACATTGTTGAGGTCTGATTGGCAGCGCTGTCCTAAATCATCATCTCTAAGGGAAAAACCAACACACTGATATCCTTCCTTTCCAGTTATTTATTTTACCCATAAATACAATGTTTCCTTGTTTTTAAAAGTTGTTTTATGGAAAACATTTACTTTGTGGTTTCTAAATTCATACTAAAGCATAATATTTATGCTGCACATCTGTATGCTAAAAACTGCTTTTAAGAATAAACTCCCAGCTGTAAATGGATTCCATCAGCTTACCCCTTTTCCTGCCCCAGTGTCTGGCACGTTAGCTGTGCAGCAGAGCTGTGCAGAGCAGTACAACTGGAACATTGCACAACTAACAGACAGATTGTTATAGTGATAAATAAGGGTTCTAGCAGATGGAAGCTCTTTCCTACTTGCCATTTTGCAAAGTGTAAAAAGCACAGATCACTACAGCAGTGAGATTTGTTTCAGCTGCCACTAACAACCTTTGAAGAAAGATGCTTACGACCCCTGGGAAAAAGTCAGGGTGCTCTGTGACCTTTTGCAAGTATGATTTATTAACATCCAACTAAATTGGTTACAGAGACAAAAATAATAAATCAAGTTGTGCATCCAGGTACTCCAATGTTATTACAAATTTTTGGAGTGAAGCAGAAAACAGGGATGGTCCTGACTACAGAGACTTCTCAAACATCTGAAAGTCAGCAATAATTCTAATACATAAGACACCTTTCCTCAATCTGAAATCAATAATGCCCTATGAAAACAAACAACAAATTCAGCACTTAGCAGCATTATTTATGTAATACCTCATACATGTGGGATCGCTTTCCAATACTGGAACTAGGAAAATACTGTTACCACAAAGTCTTTCAGATCTCAGGGATGCCAACCAACTCCAATGTGTGGAGCTGATGGACATCATCACCTCTTGTGGATCAGCATCCCAAACATTCTCATAAGCTTTAATACAGTTTTGTTTTACACATTAAAACACCAAATCCACAATTTATATCTTAAAAAAATGAACCATTTAAAATAATTCTTTAATAGATGGCAACTACTTATGCGGAAAATTTCTCTTATTGCTTTCAAAAAGCTGCAGCAAGAACAGTATCTAAGAACTGAGCAGTACAGTAACACATTTGGTGGTAGGTTACAGCATTTACTAAGTTTTAAAAGGTAAGCCAGATAATGTGCAATTCTTATAAGCCCACAGCTGCTGGAGTAAGTTGCACCCACCAGTAGCTAGAGAATAGAAAGGATGAGTTGTTGAATACTGTGAATTTTATTTATTCTAGGAATAATTCATGAATGAAAACACACTCAACCAAAAAAACCTGTCATTTTAATGTCACTCCTTTGAATAGCACCATCTTATTCTAGCCCTTGCAAGATGTATTCAGGTATGTGGACAAGTTGGATGTCATCCTTCTCTCTATGCACCATGAACCAAGTTTTGCACTCCTCTTCAGCTTGCCCCCTCTGCATCAGTCGCACACACAAAAAAGAAGCCATACTGAACAAAGCAAGATATGCTGAAAGTTTCTTGCTCTGCCAAGCTGGTCGTTTGGAGACACAACACAAGGGATTTACACAAAAACAGATGCAAGGACATTTGTAATTAGGATCTGCTGAGCAGATACAGCTGCATATTTCCATAGCACACTACCCTTACCAGGTCTGACTCCAGAGCGTAAGAAAGTCTTATTCACAATCAAAGAAAAGATACAGGAGGAGTTTATGGGGAAAAGAATTTAACTACAGCCTCTAGGTATGATTTATCATTTGTTGGTATGGACACTTGGTATGTATTCCTTTTCATCAGGTTTTTTAATAAAGAGAAAAATAGGACAGTGAAAAAGGGACCACATAGAAAACCTGAGCAGGACTGTAAACAGCTGAGGGAAAGTGGGGGGCATGGAAAAGGGTGAGGTCTTTGTTAGGTTGGGTTTTTCGAGGGGAGTTGTTTGTTTTGAGACCAGTACTGGACCATAGTGCAACATGAAAGCTGTCCCTGGCTGGGCCCTAATTTCTGGTCCTGTGAATTGATGGTTCTTTGTCCTATGATCTGGACTCAACACTAAGCTGCCAGGTAATACAGGTGAATGTGTTTGCAACTATTATGTCCTTCAGAGGCCAGATTTTAAAAGAAAGCAGCAATCCTGTTTCCAGTCCTTTAAAAAAAAACCCTGGTTGGTGTAAGAACAGATCTCTAGGATGTTTCCTTATCAAAATTTGGGCTGGTTTTTGTCCTTCTTCCAGGCATCTGACTTTCCAAGCTCTGCATAAAGAACCTAAGTACAGACTACTGGATCTGTACTTCAAAAAATGCCTAAAAGAATTAGTTCAGTGCTGGCAAACTATCACATCAGGCATATCTCAGAGAACAGAGATCCAGAAAGGAATGCAGTGATTAATGGTGAATTCTAGTTCTACTTGGTCTAAAGGGTACTTTACACTACCCAGAGTTGCCTCCTGAACAAGCGATGCTGTTTTGTGATCACAAATTTACACAAAATCAGAAACTAACCATCAAGCCTGCAAATCTGAAAGTATAGCTGTGGGTTTCTGTTCCTGTGTTTCCCTGGAATTTTTTTTTCTTTCCATGCTTTACAACTTGAAAAATGAAGCAGGGCTTCAAGACCCAAAGGCCTGAGCTGCTCCATCACCTTGATGGAAGTTTATAGAGAGGGTTTTACTTTATTAAGAGACACACAAAGAAAGGCAGAGCTGCACGAGTGCCTATCAAACTGGCCTCCAAAATCATATTAAAGAGTGTTTACAAAGTCATGAAATAAGAGAGCCATAACAGCAGGCAAGGGTCAGGAAATTTTAAGACTGGTCCATTGAGCTACACACCTTGGGGAACACAGCTGTGTGTGAAAGGAAGCAGTTAAGTTGCCTGATGCATTCTTTTTTTACCATTCAGGGTAGAAATAAAGTGAGTAAAAAGACCCTCAGTGTCAGTTATTAAGAATAACAGTTGCCTTAGTTGTACTGCAGAAAGCTAATATAATTTTTGTACTCATTAACACAGCTGAAGTTTTGGGGAAGAAAATTACCAAAATTTAATATTTTACCAAGAATAACTTTATAGAATATATTAACTTTGTGAATGTTGAATATATTTACATGCAGAAATACACAGAACTAACATCAAGACAAACTTCTTCCACTTCTTAATATACAGTTAACAGAAGTTTAACAACTAAACCCAATTGTTTTATACAAAAGTAAGCAGGGAAAACTATACTGCAGTTGGAAATGTGGGGTCAGAGGATCATTCACAACTGGTTACATTGTGTGTGGAAGTGTGTATTATAGATTTACAAAAGGAGCAATTACTTGTTCAATGATTTTGCTTCATGCATTTAAGAAACGCCCTGGATTATTCTCAGGAATTTTTATGGAGACAGTGCTAAAATTCTGGAGTTTACTTTCTTGATACAGAAATCTTGATGAAGAAGTTTTTATATAAGGCACTGCTCACCCCAATGCTTCTTGTCATTCATCCCATGTATTTTGGAACATTTGAAGTGTTAGAGAAATCAGACTTGGCACTGCCAGTCTGATTTCTCAAAAATCATGACTCACATATCCCATATGAGACTTGTTTTGTTTAATACCTGTGTGGGGGAATCCCCTCCACACACAGAATATACAAACCCAGCAATCAGGCAGTATCACAGTAGCTGCCAAATATGACAATGAGCAAGCTTAATGCAGCCTCCACAAATTTTGCTCCTTTTCTTAAAAGCTTTTATTTCCTCTACCCTCTTTTGTTTTTAAATGAACCTTAATTTTAGTATAAATTGCAATTACCAACAGCAAGGATAATTGCAATTATCAACTCATCTCTGTGCCAGGTTTTGACAGTTACTACAAGGATAAAAGACAGGAAGGGAACAAGGCATGAAGAGAACCTCATTTTTCTTGAAAAGCCAAACAGCCCCCAAAGTTTAATACTTCCTTTGGAATCAAAACCCAGATTTTGTCTTCATACAAGTGTGAACCTTGCCTTCTTTAAAGCTGCTGACATGGTAGTCAAGTTTTTCAAGGACATATTAATTAGATATAATTATGCTAACTTCTTTGGTAATAAATTATGGAAATGATGGTGAGGGAGAGATCCTGGGCAAAATGAAAAATTGTAAAAAAGCATTCATCTGCCTCTGAAACAATGAGGCTTCAAGGTAATAGAAAGCAAAGTTCAAATATACATGTAATCTGACACTACAGATTATGTTTAAAATTTAAAACCTTCATAGTATTTCCTTCATGTTACATATAATACATAGATCCATTTTTAATAGATTTTCTCTAGAACAATGCAGAACAATTGCAGTAAAGTGCAAGCTTTTCTAAGCTATTAGTCTGTCCTTCTAGGAGTCTATTTTATCCATACCATGTCCAGTTGTTCCAGTCAAAAGCCAGTTTAACATGCCAGCATTTGGGCTTGTTTGGTGTCTTTACAGTGGCAGGTAAAGAAAAGAAAAGGATGTGCTGACAGGATGCAGATCTATCACATAGAAAACTGCATTGCTGCCAGAGAGTTGCAGACACACAGAGCAGATTTGAAGAACCATGGATCAGCCTTAGGTTGCAGATATGTGGGAATGCAAATTAGTCTGTTCATGACTATGGCATTGTGATTTGATGGAAAAAAAACAACAATACTGCCCATCTCTATAATCTTCATTCACAAGTGAGGCTTTTGCTACATTTGCTTCCTGTTGAATTTCTGACCTATGGTTTAGTAGCTTCACAAATTGAACCATACATATAAAATTACAGGAAAGGGATGCAACTGATTTAGTGCAAGATGTTTAAATATTTATCTGAACTTAACAAACAAACAGAGGAAGATCAAAGACTCCATACACTTCTCCATAAGGCAGATGGTAGTTTTTTAAATATAAGATTTTAAATACGTTATTTCTTAAGAGGTAGAAAATATCAAAATACTAGGAAAAAATTTCTAGCTTAAAATAATCAGTTTGCTTGCTTTTTAAAAAGTCTTACTGTTGCAATTTTTAAGTGAATAAAAACAAATGAAGCTATGGAAGCACAGGATTTCGTGCTCTGTATAAGATTTCACTTACTGGAAAAAGAGAGAGCTTCTTCATCTAGTCAGTGCTCAAGGAGTATATACAAATGATCTCCTCTACTTGCCCTGTTGGGGGCTATAAATTTGAAGTGAAAATTTTTCCCAGTGGAAAATTTTGGCGATTCCTGACTTTCTAGCACTACATTTAACCAGGTACAGTTTATGTATAAGGCAGTAGAACCACCGACGTAAGCTCAGAACTACCTTTTCCATAAAGCTAAGAAGAGAGTTAATAGAATCAAAAGCTTACTTAAATCTTTCCTGCTGACAGCAAAAGATCATAGTCAGATTCCAGCACCAGCTGATAACCTGTTTTAGCAATTTATACCAGCCCAGAGACAGCTGAACTCCTCATTGCACTGTGGAAGCCCACCTACAGTTTGAGTTACTAAGGCTTGCACTGTTCCTCAGCACAGCTAGGAGATGCTGATGCTACTGTCTCCAATGCAAATCAGTAAGGCATAATTTAACTCAGAACTGACATTATTACACATTGAAAAAGTAGTGTAAAAGCTCCTCTCTTTTCCATCTGTTAACATTCAGTACTATTTATTAAATATTTTACAAAAGGAAGTTAGGATATTTATACATTCAAACAATCACCGCAATAGTTGAGTAAAGGAAACAAATGAATTATCAGATTCTAAATTAAGCATGATTCTGGAGATATGCACATTTGCACATATGCTCACACCACACACATTCTGTGTGTGTGTGTGTATATATATGTGTTTATGTATAGATATATAGTTACATTTTATATATATGTCTTTTAAATCAGATCCAAGAATACAGCACAGAATATCTTCACTTAGCTCCTCTTTCACCAGAGGACAGGATTGTCCAGTTTGGAAAAACCAGGTTCTTTTCTAAGGTCCATGTAGGTTCCATTGCTCACCCAGGAGTCATCACTGGATTTCCTATCAAAGATTAAACAAAGGTAAGCTGATATTTTCCATCCATATGCTGTGTAATGCAGTGCAGCACCATGCACAGATACCAAATCCAGCCCAGGAACCAGGAGCAGTGCGTGCAGCTCATTGCAGCTTGGAGAGCTGAATGGGTGTGTCTGCACTGGGCCATGGAGAGGCACCTCAATCTCATGTTCACCAGAGAACTTCACTATTGAAGAGCCAAATGCATTAACTCCTATCTGCTCTAATACTTTTGCTATATAATAATTAAATTCTATATTCCACCGTTTAAATCTACAGGATAAATCTCAACTTTCAAATCCTCATTGTAAGGATTCAAATCCTCATTCTTATTCACAATTCTCATTGTGAAGATACAATCACAAATTATGAGACTTTGCCTCTATCCACCTTCCCTTTAGTAGGTGTGATTGGCATGTGATGGGTTAGCTCACCAGCTTGTCAGAGATGTAGTAGTTTAAGCCATTCCCTTTTGCACCTATTTAAAACATTCCAGGGTTCCTCAGAAGTAGAGTATAGATAAATCCAGAAAAAATAGGATCCAAATAAATAAATAAAAAAAAAAAGATCTGCTAATTGGCCCTTACAACATTCATCTTGGCCCCAACTCTTTCACTGCAGGAGGACAGAGAAGCTGGAGGGCAAAAGACCACATCCTCGCCAGCATTCCTTTTTGTCTTTCAATGCCTGAAGTCTCCTGTTTAACTGATTTACAACAGGAAGAGATAAAGTGCCCTCATAACGATGATTCTCTCTCCATAAAATAGGGGAAACATGTTCAAAAATAGCCCTGGAAGCAAAAGGCTCCAACTTTGCACACTTCCACACCAGCCAATCCCACTGAATTCAGCAGAACTTCAGCAGAGGTAATTGAGCTAAATCCAGCTACTTCAGCTTGCTTCAAAGAATCAAAGGTGCTACATTCACTCAGGCAAATTCAAATGTAGACCAGATATCAATTACCATCAAGGCAAAAAAAAAATAAAAATTCAGGGATGCACTAATAAAAAGCTAATACGTAACTGTGACTTTTAACCAAGTTGGGAGTATTCTTCATCACGAAAGTACAAACCCAAAGTATATAGGGGAACCCTGGAAAAAGCTGGAGCCTGTCACATGGCAATTTAGAATCAGATCTATAATAAGAATTTCAATAAATGATAGTATATGCTAATTATTATCTAGTACCTGAAAAATCTAGGCTGATGCTCTAGATTGTTTTCTTCTAGCACCTTCCGTCGTTCTCGCTGTAGCTGCTCGATCCTCTGCTTTTGCATTTCAGCTCCTTCAATATTCCCTTCTTCTAGAAACCTGCAGCAGCAGTGATATGAGACAATTGGTCTCCTGCCCCCAGAAGAATCTAATCTTTCCAGCAGGTATTTCACAGTGTTTGAAAGGTAAACAGCTACCTCTGCAGACAACTGCACTATGAAAACGCACTTAAGGAAAACTGACTCTTGTAACAAGCTCAGAGTCACAGTTACATTAGATTCTTCTACTTGGAAATTTGCAAAAGTAAAAATTTCACTGCAGAAAGAAGTTTCAAGTGTCTCAGTGTTTGGCTATTCAAATGCTGTATGTATTTGAAGCACCTGAAGCACTGAAGTTTTAATATCCTTGGAAAGGCAGTTATCTAGAAGCACCTAAGAGGCAATTTTAGGACACACTTCCATAACAACTAGACCATCTCTCCATAAGTGATTACAATGTCTGTTTCAGATGCACATTAATGTAAAAATAGAAACACACTGCAGTTATCCACAGAAAATAGTCTGAGTTCAGGGTAAATTGAGTGTACAGAAGATTAAGAACTATTTAAGGAAAATATTTCAGAGTTAAAGCTTCTTACCTTTGGTCTGGTCTAAAACGTGTATCAGTGGATGGGAGTAATGACCTAGTTTGTGGGTCCAGTTCATTTAACTCCAGTGCAAATTGTGTAAATCCATACCACTGTTCAAAATCTTTAGGCATTGGATCTACAGAAGAAATGAGTACATTCAGAATTTCAATTAAAATGCTATTATATTGAGAAAGAAAATTTCAAACTCCCTCCAGTCATTTGTTTATGCCTGATCCACAGTGTCAATTCTGGGGGAACAAGAGGTTTTTAATAATGTGACAAAAGAGAACATCCCCTTTGATAATTGCACTGCAACAAAACAGATTTCTGTTCCCTCAGCTGAATCACAGCACAACTGTGATGAAGGCCATGCTATTATAATGTTTTTTCAAAACACAGTAGACAAAACCCCACAAGCCTGGGAGAAATTCAGCTATCACTGTCATTACAGAATTGAGTTTTGTGGGCTATCCTCGAGTATTCAACACTTGAAATAAACAACATTTCTCTGCACAAGCAGTAAGAGTTTATCCCTTGTTTTTTTTTTCCTCTTCCTGCTAGAGTCCTCAATACTCACTTCTTACCCAAATATGAAAATGAGGGAGAATGGAGAAAATTCAGGAAGCCACGGGATTAAGTTCTCATATTATTTAAATTATATATTCTTCTGATCTAGCTTTTAAATGCTTGACAAAAATCTAATATTCTACAAAAAAATGACAGGAAATTGGGGGCCTAGTAAAGATATGAAAACAGTAAGCTTATACTGAAGAAGATCTCAGTTTGTGTACATGAGTCATTCTGATCACTAACTTGCTCTCCATATGCAGTTTGAAGATGAAGATGTCCCACAGTACAAACTTTCATGCCACTTCCCAAAGAGTCGATGCACAACTTTCCCAGATTTATCCACGACACTGCCTTCAATCTCATGTGCATTTGGATTCCAGTACTTTGCCTAGAATTAAAAGGAACAAGAGGAAAGAAGGTGCATAAGAGCTCAAGTGCAGGGTGCAGGCCATTTTGCCATGCCAGTAGCACCAGGCTGCAGAGCAATGAGAACTGTTCATTTAGGTGTGCATCACAACACCAAATGCAAACAATTGCTGTTAGTACCATTAAAATACAAACCTATTAGTATGCCAGCTTCTTAAAGTACTAACATTGAGAATTGTATTTATTTGTTTGCCTTTTTTAGGGGCAGCTGACCCTGAATTTTGCCTAAGGACAGCTGACTCTGAGTCCTGACTTGGTTATCTCCCAGATTTGCAGAAGAGGAAGAGAAAGAACTCATATGTTAATCTCCACTTTAAACACTTTACAATATCAAAGGTGTGAGATTTGCAGGCTCTCAGTCTTCAAATATTTGAACTTTAAACATCCAGTGCAGCTCTGAAAATACATTAAAGTACTTTCAAGTAAGTATTTGGAAAAAAAAAAATAAATCACCCTAATGCTTCTTAGAAAGCACAAAGTTTTCAGGGAAACAAATAAAAATCCCCAAACTTGCTGGGGAGCATGCCATGCTGCATAGGTACACTGAAGTACTGTATTCTTTGTATCTGTATGGTCTGTTCTATGTCAAGCAGAGCCTTTCTCCATCAGTCAGATACAGAAAATGCAGGTTAAGGTAAGTCTCTTAGGATGATTTATAAAAGTATTTCTCAAGTTAAAAATTTCAGCATTGCTTTACATTTTCATTGATTTTCATTTACTACAAAGTCATCTATTGCCTAAAACTTAATTTAATTTCAGTTATAAGGACAATTCCTGAAGAAGCCATACATATTGTACTTGTACTGAAGCAAAAGCTTTGAGTAACACCCCAAGCTCTTACTTAAACTCCTCTGAGTACCTGCAAAGGGCTAGAAAAGAGCATCAGGAGAAACACCCTGCATAAGCACTGGTCCTACAGCTGCTGAATGACTGCAGCCACAGCATGTGCCTAGTAGGAGGCATGTGCTAAATCACTGTCAGCAGCCACCTTGTGCCTATGTCTCTCATCAAGCCCAGAGTAGGTTTTCCATGATATTCCTTTCCCCATAATCCCTCCATTTCCAGCAGAATCACTCAAGAAAGCTGTTGCCTCTCTTTTTTTGTCTAGTGAGTGGCAGTTCCTTCAAAGTTGGAGTTTTCAAGGAATCACAGGTAATTACAGCTTGTAAGCAGAAGTACTGAGCTTCAGCACGGAGCATCCTCCCACTGCTGTGCCTGTTAGAAAAGGCAACATTGCTGTGGTTACCTTTATGAAAGTCAGTTTGCAGTGGCACGTGTCATCATTAAGATTTTTTATGATAATCTCTCCATAGTGTTCAATCCATCTTTGCCCACTTAAGATGTTATGGATGCAGGATGTCACCTTGTTCCATGCAAAATGGTCTTTAAAACTGTAAGGAAAAATACACACAAGAAAATTGTCAAGCAATGTTCAAGTGAGCTCAATCTTGAGGAAAAACATTTGCAGACAACTTGATTAGAAAAACCAAATAAACCTTTTTTTTTTTTTTTTTTAACTAGAATGCTTCATCTTCTTGTTCCAAACCTTCTCAAAAACAAACCCTATGACAACAATCCCACCTCCCAGAAAATCCTTTTTACTTCTGCTGTATACTTTGCTCTTGAATTCAGTTGTCTCTCAATTTACTTGTCCTTCTAACCAGTTTTAAGTTTCCAGAAGTAATCATTCTGGTATCTTCTACAGTCTGAGATGCCCGTTCCAAGCTTGTATGTAACACAGTGACAATGGAAAACACAAGAACATGGGCCACCAGAGTGATACAAACATGTACTGAGAGGAATAAGCTTGGCTCAAACTCTCAAGGCTGAGCCTAATACGTGTGCTTTAGGCAAGAGCGCAAGTTCTCACCAGGCAGTTCAAGATGCTGTTGCACACTGGGAAACAGCAGACATGGAGAGATAAACAAATACCAATAGGGAATTTCTTTTTACCTTTTATGAAAGAAGCAGATGCTCTTATAGAACAGCTTTATAAAGCATCAAGGAAAGGAGAGTCTCATGAAAGGAAAGTCTCATGAAGACATACATTTATTCTGGGTATGGATGGCAAACTCACTAGAGGTCAGGTGAAATATAAACTTACAAAGCACCAGTTTCCCCACAGCAAGTGCCTCACACACATCCTGTGAAGTTACTGGAATCTTTCCCTACCTCCCCTTAATCACTTGCTTTCACTTGCTGCTTTCTAAGGGCACACACAAGGACAGTTTGTACAGACTTGCAGATATGCAGCCAATTCATCCCACAGTGACTTGTTTTTCTGCCATTACCTATGCATGTCACGTTATCATAAATGCTAAAAAAATCTATTTGTTTCAAAATGAACCTTAATACTAATGCTTAATTTTTCCCTATAGCCTTGGCACCCTTTTTGTACCCAATTCTGTATCAAATACACAGGGATACAAAACACACATGGAGATCACATATGAATCAGATTGCTTCCCAGTTCATCAGCCCATCATAGGCACTAACATATTAATTATTTTGGCTCTGAGCACTCATTCACATCCTTTCATTTCAAAGCTTAGGGCAGGTGCTATGAACATAACATGGTTTAATACATTCCCTTTTGGATACGATCTTACTAGACTACAATTTTATCCACTTGAAAAAAAAAAGGCATGCTTGACTTGATGAGTGCTAGGTTCTTGAATTCTTTGGGGTTTTTTTGTTTTGATTTTTTTTGGGATTTTTTTGGGGTTTTTTTGGGTTTTTTTTTGGTTTTGTTTTGTTTTCAGATGGCAAGATGGCAGATTAATTAATTTGGTACTCCCTCACTGGAAAACAGATTTAATTGGAACAATACTCAACCTTTAGACCTCTGGTTCTGCAAACATGATGGATATAGGCCAAATTTTAAGGGATTTTAATTGCTCATCAATAATGGGCACTCTGACAAGCCAGCATTGAAATGCTGCAGATTTTTATTTAAAAAAACAAAAGGAAACAAACCAACTATACTCAACACTTCACTACAGTGGCTGCTTCCTTGGATAATGAATACCAGATATGTAACTGGTTCTACTTATCACTTACAGTCATTATTTCTGCAGTGATGATGGTTGTTGGCCTTGCCTACAGGCCAGAGCACCCCATGGTGTCAGGTCCCTACAAATATAGTTAAAAACACAGGAACACCACCACCTCTTCCCCCAAACCCATACTCAAGCAAAAGAATTCATAGCTTCCTTTGCTCTACAGTTTTTCCCTGTGAGTTTAAAATGCATTAAGGTTGATATTCAACTGAAGTATGAAAATACCTTTCCATGCTTTCAAAAAGAAAAATACTTTTCTTTTTTCAAGGTACACAGAAGTAAAGGGTTTTTTTTCATTGTTTGTTTGTCATAACTTCTGAAAGAGTCAGTGCTTCTGATTTATGCTTCTGGTTTTGGTTTGGTGGGGTCTTTCTTCCTCCCCTTTTCTCTTTAAATGAATTCAAAGCCACCAGTCCTTCCAAAGGGCAGAGCAGAGCTTGCTGTCCTCTGAATGAACGTGGTTTCAGTGTGTGCAAGCATCTGTGCCTGTGCATGAAAACAGTGCCCAACAGCAGCACTTACGCTGGAAGGGTTACGTGTGTTGTGCCAACTGGAACAATCTCCATGGACTTCCCCCAGAATTTGTTTTTCCATCTGACATCTGGAACAAGAAGTAAAAAAAGACAGGTTTAGTCACAGGTAGGTGAATCAGGCTGTTCCTGGGCTCTACTTTATTTTCAAGAAATTCAAAATAAAGTGCAACAGAAGCGTCCAAAGAATCTTGTGGGACCTTCAAATACATGTTGGTGGGTTTCGTGTTGCTGCTGTTTGCTTTGTTTGATTTTCATCATAATATTGGTTATTTAAAAGGCAAAGTAAGAGATGTTTAACAGTCCTCTCAAAAACTTTTTCAAAATAAAGAAATTTGAATAAGCTATAGGCAGCATATACTGGTCTGCAGCTCAGTTGCTAGTGAATGAATGCAGACATTTTCAAAAACAGAAGCAGAATTTCAAATACAAAATACAACAAGAGCATCCAGAGTCAAGAGGCTAAAGAAGGTTTCAAAGGGCACAAAATGGCAGAGGGTTTTAGTCCAACTCCCTCTGTAAGTTTAACTGGTCTTTTGAAATCTTGTTTGAATTACAGAAAGTCTCATGCCTTTTCTTCAAAAATATAGAAATGATAAGAAAACTCAATGCAAGTTCAGCCAAATTGATTGAGCAAAAGCACCTGGAAGAGAAAGAAACAGAGAAGAGCATGGCAAAATGCATGTACAGTTAAACTGGGCTACATAATCAGGCAGTAACTTTCATAGTAACTTCAGAGCTCAAGGGAATAGAACCCTTCCTATTTTAGACTCTAGGAACTCCATTCCCTGCCCAACCTGAAAAAGAGGGGAAACTTAACTCTAGTCTCAAAAAGTTGCTAGCTCTAACAGAAGGAAAACAAAAAACCATTTCCTGTGCAATTCTGGGGGGGAAATCTTACACTGGTTGTGAGATGGATGCTCAAACCACAACTAAGAAATTACTCAGGTATCTCCTGAGCATGCGTGTGCAAGTGAGGAGCGAGCCACACTGAGCTGCCTACCATTGCAAAGACTAGAACGGGATATAGGGCAGAATTCTGCACACAAAGAAGTTACTTTTCTTGTCATGTGAGAAAAGGACCTTTTGGGTTTTTTGGTTTTGGAGTCTGGTGCTGGGTCAGCATCTTCAGTGACAGCGATTCTCTTGTGATTCCTACACTGCACAAGTGCTCCAAAGCTACTTCCAGTGTGATGTTGTTGAGGCAAATTCTTTCCTGGCTTTCTCTCTTCTGCACAGGGATGGAAGAGAAAGGGCAAAGGTACACTCTACCAAGTTTAACAGTTAAAATGCATCACCAGATTGTGCCAAATTCTACACTTATAAATGGAAAAGCTGTCCCACAGAGATCAGCATGTGGGAAACATTTTGAGAGCTGGGGTGCAACTTGATCACGCAATAATTTTAGGACAGAAGAGAAAAAGCAAAGTGTTATTTCAAAGCTATGCTCACACTAATTCATGCACAGATGCTGGAATAGCTGAAACTTCCTTCATTTCCACTGCTCATGTGTTGACACTCCTCTGCAAAAGCAGAGCCAGCTTCATAAGTCGTGGAAAGCTATTTCCAAACTATTGGTCCCTGTCAGAGCCCAGTCTTCAGTTCACAAGATGTGATCAGGCGATTTCTTGGTGATGGAACACATGAGCTAAGGTCAGTGCTTGGTGGGATGACAGCACTACCCTGGCAATGCTGCTGTCTCCTTTTGGGCTGAGAAGGTGACACAGTAAGTGAAAAGGTCTTTGTACACAGAAAGAACTCAGCTCACTGACAAGCTACCTCTATGATTAAATTGGTGTTAATCTTTCAACATAAGTTAATATTGCCTCATTACAAGAGGTCACAGCATTTAAAAATTGCCTTTACAATGGAAAAAAAATCACTGTCTAGCTCTCCCATAAGTTCAGCCAGCCATATTTAAAAACAAAGCAAACAAAAATCCCCAAGCCCTGCTGCACCCTGATTGAATGTCCTGTGCCCTTCAAGACCAAATCTCAGACTCTCACATTAATCAGATTCTCAGCTCTCATTAGAAGAGCTTCTTTCTCTAAATTGAAGTGTTAAAATATTGATAGCAATTGTCAAAATCTATTAAATCAGTCTCATCTATTTTTATTAAGACAGGCTGCTATCTGATCTTATTTATACAGTGTTCAAGTTACTGAATGCATTTTTTGTCATCTTAGCTTTTGGGCTATGAACAAAAGGATTCTTGTGTCCCTGTATTTGTTTACACAGCAAAGAATTACACAGAATAATAAAGCCCAGACTAATGGCTTTCAATATCTGTTCAGTATGGCTCCATCTGTAATAACTATAATCAAGTCAGCAGAGCCAATCAGGAAAAAAAATATTACAATATGGCCACATTGTGATTTGACAAACCCCTGGGTGAAGGATTTTACACGAGTTAAAAGGCATGGTTATGTTCTGTGTACACTCCAAAATTATCTAATCACACAGGTCCTGTTACTGGCTGACACCTTCACTAGCAGTACCCAGCAAACCAAGCTCCAACACACATCTTTTGAAAAAAAGCAGTAGTCAAACAGCACAAAATCTTACATACTGTAATAATGCTAGCAGAGAAAGAGAAGGTAAATGTATTTACCCTTGCTGTTAAGCTCATTTTTGAAAATTGCTTGCAGAACAGGTTTACACAGCAGAGAAAGAGAAGGTAAATGTATGCTGTTAAGCTCATTTTTGAAAATTGCTTTCAGAACAGGTTTACAAGATTTGCCAAGGTTCAGGATTTAACTTGTACTGTTTTCATGCTGTCTTCGAGCTTGTTTGTTTTATAAATAGCTTGACATGCAATTCTTTACTAAAGAACAACATCCCCTCCCCAAACAAACCTGATTTTAAAGAACAACAGATATTTGTACATGAAAATAATAATAAATTAATGTTACATGAAAAAAATCTAAACAAAGCAAAATCTCTTGAGAATATTTATAATAGCAGAAGATCCCAGTAAGAAGCATGCAAGTAAGTATAGGCTCATTTCATAAAACCTTTCTAATACAAATTTAAGCAAGGAATTTCAACTTTTCCTAATTTCTGGATATTTTCTGTTAGGCATACAATGAAAACATTATGAACACTGTAAAAGTAAATGATAGACTGAAGAGTTACCTTGCCAAAAAGCAAAATTCACAGATTCAGCATGGCATGCAGAAATAGGTGGGTGGTGACTGACCTAATAGCAAGACATGAAAAGAGAGGGGGACAAAAGATTAACATATGAACACTTGAACAGTCATTTTGGTTTGGCTTCTCTTGTTTTTTCTCCTTCATTCCCATACGCATTTACAATTTGAACAATAGTTTTCACTTTGCAGTTGTGTCCTGAAGGGGGAGGCAGTGAGATTAATAAAGGTTCTCAGACCTAAGAAACCTTGAAAGAAATGGGAAACATTTATTTTAAAAGGCCCGAGATTTTGTTCGAGTGAAAATCTAGATATATACTTTGTACATCGTCTCTAAGGTGATAATTAAATTTACCCTTAAGACCTCTTAACATTAACAAAAGATTAACAAAAATCGCACTTTGAGTGCACAGACAAAAAATATTAAAAAAACCAAAAACACAACAAAGGGCCAAAAGCTTCTGTACAGTGAATAACCACAAAACCCTGAGTATGAAGGAGGAGATAGTGATCAGCATCTCCGAGTGTGCCAGTGGTGAAGAAATCAAGCCAGGAAATTCCATCCAGCAGTTCCTACTACTGCAGCAGTGACACCCAGGTGTTTCTAGGTGAAACTCTAACCACAGGCACTGCATTTCATCAGCTTTGGCAGGACGTGCAGAAATTAGGGCAACCACCAAACTAGCAAAGCAAGGACTGTGAGTAAATAAACAATTCAGACTATTAAAATGCAACAGCAAATAAAAAAAGCACAAAGTGAAAGCAGCCCCTCCTCCTCAACCTGAATTCTCCCTTCTGGGTGAACACAGCTAACAACTGACCAGGACCAGCTCTTAAGATGTGTCATGCCTGCTGTTCCTTGGGCAGCTTTATTTTCAAGTCAAATTGCTATTTTCCACTATGAAAAATCAACTCAAAAAAGTTAATCAACTTTTACTTTTTTAGGCTTTTTTATTACTCATTTCACAAATCTCTTACTAAGCATTTTCCCCCACAGGCATCCAGTTATTTATTGAACATCCTCTACTTGGTTTAAAAAAAAAAAAAAAGGTACTAATTACTTTCAGCTATGGCCTAATTCAGCAAGAGCAACACACACTCTCTTTCTTACATACTGTACCCAGATTAACCCCAGATGTCACTATAATACATGGGTTAAACTTAGCTCTCACTTAAACTGTTATAATTCCAGAGTAAGGTCATGGTGCTAACAGGAGTTATTCTAAACTCCCTCTAGTGATAAAAGAGAATCTTTGTTACTTTTGTGTCTTCTGTCAGTCTATCCCATCAATTACATTCTGCCTCCATTAACAAGGCATCTGGAATAAGCATCAAAATGCTTCTGTTCCTGATATAAAGAAAAATATTTAATGCTTGCATGCTGCATTAAATTTCTTTCTTCCCATACTGCCCTCTGTTCCTAATATTTCTCCACCCCATATTCTTGCAGTAACTTTACCTCTCTAAACTCACCTCATTTATTTCTCATATTAGAACAACAGTTGTTCATAGCACAAGCCTGGTCATGTAGTAAAATTCTTCTTTATAAAAACTAGCCATTGTAGTGGTTTGCCCAATATTCAAGTGACAATATCTTCCTTTAATTCAGTGTAACATTAAACTCAGCACTAACTTTTATCCACCACTTTGTTACTCAAATTTGATGCTGTGCTGGTACTTGCAGTGCTCTACACACATAATTTTAGTACTGAAGTAGCACAGTGATGAACCAAGTACATGAACTTTAAATTTGATTCTTGCTTTGACTGCATTACTTTCTGTTGGGTTTTTTTTCCCCTCCTTATTTTTACTCTTGCCTGTGACATTTCCTGAGACTAAGGGTAGATCACATAACATTTCTTTTTGTCAATTCTAAAACATAATGTGCAAAATGTTGTACCATCACAGGCGGTCAAAAGCACTTTTCATTCCCTAAAGGAGGCCTCTTAGAAGTCTTTCTCTGATCAAATTTCTAGGTTGCACACCTTTGCCCACTTGCACTTTTTGTATTTTTTTTGTTATGTCTAGACAGAATAGGACAGCTTTCAGTCATTCTTACTTTGCTACCGGGCACCAGGTATTTGAGTTTTATCTCTTTTTAACATACACTTCAAGTTTAGCAATTTTGGTAGCTTGGCTGGTTTAAATTTAGTATTTTTGACCCATACTTAATAATCATTCTCCTATTGGGGCATTATCTTCATAAACACTCAGACCATGATGTGCTGTATACATCCTTCACCTGCTCAGCTGTGGCAGCAAATTCGAAAGGCTCAGCCTGCTAAGTATTTCGACAGGAAGCAGAAAGAGTCATGGTGCCATTGGAAATACTTCTGGTTGATTGGCTCACTTGAGGGATACATTTGTTATAAAAGAAGACATTAAACAGCAAAAGATATAGTATTTTTAAAGATCACACACAAAAGAAAATGACAAGAACGTAAACTTTTGTTGCAGTTGTGATCAGATTTCAACATGGGGAATTGCATTCTACTTAACTAAGTTATCTTGTTACTGGAGCAGGCAGCCTGCCAGCCTTTGCTCCTCCAGTGTCAGCTGCTGGTTGTGATGTTCCACACCAGACTTAGCAGACTTTCCTCAAAAAACAATTCCCTTTGTTTATAATTCAGCGAAGTCCCTTGGGTTTTGCTGGGCTCAGGTAATGTAATCTTGTATTTTGCCAGTAATTCTTGAGAATTCCAGCCACACATTTAGAATTCAGCAGCGTATCGAGTAGCAATTCTAAGGGCTGCAGCATACAATACCTGTTCTGCAAAGAACTGGAAACCCTTATCTTCACGGATGCATTCATAGGTTTCTCCAAGCACAGGATTAAATGGCTTACTGCCAGCTCGGTAGTAACTGGATGCATAGGCAGAGACTGCAAAGGCAGCTATGTACACCTGGGAAGTACATATTTGGGACTTAGATTAATTCATTTACAAAAGACACAAAATAAATAAAAGCAAGCTTTATCCTGATTCTACATTTTCCCCTTCATTTGCAGGCTACAAACATGCACGCCTCCTGTGAGCTAAACCCTAGTTCAGACCTTAGAGGATTATTCAATTTTCAGTCATTCAATAGGTCAGGGAGAGAATTGTTTGGGTCAGATACTGCAAATTTCATCAATTGAAAACAGCATTTCTGAAAAGTGTTTGAAACAGTTTAGCATTCTGCAACACAGCTCAGAGAAGTAACCTTAAAAGTAACTGTTAAATTTCATATAATAACTGGTTTTTATAGTTACATCTGTGACTCCATAAATGTACCAACTACCCTTTTCATAAACATAGCACAGGAAGTCTTGGATGATTTTTCGCCAACTTTGCTGTTTCTAAGCTATTTGACTTAAATTGTTTTTTATCTGCTGGGTGCTATTACCTAATCATGAAACTGTTGATCATGACTGACACACAGTTCCAAATATTTCACTTCCAAATTTTTGCTGTCAACTCAACCATAACATGAGAAATTAGAATTCAGGGTTGTTTGATTCAAGTCTTTTTTGTAACACATTTTTTTCCTCTTTTCATTCCCTTTTCCTCATCTTGTGAAAGTGTAGATACTCTCTTTTCACAGTTTCAGAAAATAAACCCACTGAGGATAGGCTCTTTTATGAGCTATTGCAATTACTATGCAATAGCTAGCATTAAATTTCACTTCAGGAATTTCTCAAAGGCAAAGGGTACACCAGTCTGAGGTAATTTCCAGATGCTTGGGTGTGGGGAGGAGGGATAAGGCTTCTTTTCCCTCCCTTTGGAAGAACTACTGCTCATTTCCTTTTCCTTTTAGCATATGTTCTCAAGAGAACAAAAAAGCTATGGACTGAAACCCCTTGTGAATGACCACAGCCTGGGAATATGCCCTAAATTGTAACCCTTGAAAGTGTCAGAATGAGGAAAGAGACTTTTCAAGCAGTATTTTTGACACGACTACCTACTCTCATTAATAACCTCATTTTGAGATAAGATACATTGAGTTGAAAAGGCTTAATTCAGTTTAGGAGAAAATCTGTATCTACCATTTAAGAGAATTTAGGGAGGATTATTCTAATCCTTTATATATGGGCTTGCATATTAAGTAGCTCTTGAACACCTGGAAGCAGAACAACCAATGCATTTCTCTCTTGTTCTTTTGCCAAAAGCAGAATTCAGGGCTCTGCACTGGAAGAGGATGACATCATTATTGTACCCAACATGCAGCATACAGCCTGATTTTGAGATCCTGAACATTTTGGATAAACACAAAAACTTCAGAAAACCAGTTAATAAAAAACATGGAGCTCATTTAGTTAATACAAAGACATCAGAGTCATGTAGGGCTGGGAGATCCAGCATCTCTATGAAGAAATGTGTAACCACATCAGACACCCTTGAAAAAGATATATTGCAGCTTTCATCTTTGAGAGGGAACTAAATTCAATCCCCTCCTCCCTTTTTGCTGTAAATTTTTAATATTAGAGAGCAAGAGCTGCAAAACAGAACTAAGCTCCTTTTTTGTTTAAACTTGCAGTACAGCAAGGTACTCAAGGAGAGAGAGACTTTCTGAAAAAGCAACAGAAATGGAACAGAAGAGTCAAAAATAGTGGCTATGTGAGTATGTACAGACATTTGGAGAGTTTGCCTCTCAGCCGAGAGAAACAAAACAATGGACTAGAACATCTTCACTTCTTCAGCACTGCTTTTCTGCTTACTCTATTCTAATTCTGCTTTATGTTCCCGAGTGTTTGGATCAGGTATTTACCATGCGCTCGAAGGGGTTTGGCGTGTGCGCCGCCTTATCCAGGAGCTCGCTGTACTCCAGCTCCTCGCAGAGGCGCTGCAGGGTGTTCAGGGGCTCGTTTAGCTCAACAGGCATGGCCACTTTGGAGAGATCCTTTCCTATGTTATTCCTCAGGATATTCCACAGGCTGATGTTACTTGTGTTAGGACATGGAGCTGGCAAACACGTTCTCCGTTTAGAATTGCATCCGATTCCGCTTTCAGAAATACAATCTGAAAAGGAAGGAAGTGGCAGAACAAATACATTCACATTTTCTTAGTTTCATCCCCCTTTGCAAACACACATTAAAATGCAACCATCTTTCCTTCTGTCAAAACTTCCTTCCACCCACGAATCATTTAAGTATTTCACTTGTGGTTTGAAGATAGCCTGTTATAAAAATGACAAAATTAAGAATCACATTTTATGTACATTAACAGAAGTAAAATGCCAAGTACAAGAGATGCATAAAAATGACCTTCTTTTCCCTCAAAGTCTATAAGAAAAGGCTCAGACTTTCCACTGAATTGGAAAGAGTAAATATTATAACTATTTTATTTGTAACAGAGACGGATTCCTATCTGTTTAGGGGACATAAAACCTCCTTCCTTGACAGAGCTTCAATTAAGCTGACACTTCTCAGAAGGCAAGATGTAACTTACAGATGCAAGGATAATAACTACTCCTACTGATCTTTTCCTACTTCTTTGCATACTCCTACCAGGGAAATTTACTGTACCATGCATTTACGTTCAGGCTTTTCCACATTGCTCCCCATAGCATTTAAACTTAGCAATGATACTTTGAGATATACCCATATATTGATGGAGAAGTGATGTGTTTTGAGGATGCAAAAGCTGAAGCAACTGTAGAGCTATGGGATTGAAAAAAAAAAAAAAGGGACTCAAGTCAAGAGTCCTTGACATGAATATCTGAAGTCTGTGTTCCTGTATCAAAGCAATCACAACAGGATAAATAGCTCTAAGTGTGCCATGACAGGATTTGTAGCAAAATCCAAACAGAGCTACAAGCTTCCACAACAGGCACTAGTCTGAAGTGATTATATTGCTTAGCTGTACATCACCTTTGTTTCAGAGAGGAATGTGTTTGCCACTACAAGAACATATTTTATCTTTCCACGTCCTCAGGAGCACCTAGGAGGCTCCTGCCTTAGGATCAGTTACTGTTCGGAGACATTCAGGCATAGCCTCAGTCTGTCAAGCCCTGTCCTTTTCTGGCTTTGCTCACACAGCTCTGTCTCAAAGGAATTAAACCCACACTGGGCTGCACATCTCTTTCTGTGCTACACATGCCTGAAGAATCCCTGCCCTTAGGTGCACTCAACCAGCACCTCCTCTTCTCTGCCACTGCCACAAGCACGGTACCAGCAGCGCTTACAGCAGTGACAGGTGACCACAAGGACAAACTTCTCCATGCCTGCCATGCCTCCCAGCCCACGCCTCACGTGGAACATTTAAAGGGCAATCAGTTGCCTCAGAGTTTTGAGGAAGGAGTTTCCATCTTCCCTGCCACTGGCAAACTCAAAGTCCTAATACCTCACATGACTGAGTTACTCTAACAAGGTCAGGTGAACTATTTGCAGCCCTTTGCCTATATTTTTCTTTTTGCTTAAAAATGGCATGGGCAGTATGGGTCCAAAAACCTACCTGAAACAATTATGCTGTTGAGAGTTAAGGAGCTTTCCCTATGGGAAGAATTTATTTAATGTCAGAAGAGGACAAAAAGAAGGATGTTCCCTTAGATACCTCAGGAATGAGGTAAATGCTAAAAACTTATCCTTGTTTAAAAGGGCTCCCAGAAATGGGATTTGGCTATGTCTTTTGACAGCTTCTGATTAAAAACAGAATAAAAATTGGCTCATTTATGTATTCGGGACCAGTCCATTAATTGAGGTAAGCTGCTGAAAAAACAGAGTGGAGCAAGAACTTCAGTACTCAGATATCAAATTTTCTAAGCAGTGAAGTTTGCCTAGTCTCCATTACAGAAAGACCCAGGCAGTTCTGGTTTGTAAGAGCTGTGACAGACAGGATGAATGCCAAAGGAGGTTTAGACATCTGACCTCCAGTTGGAGTCAATGACTTTTGAGGCCAAACTGGACCATTATCATCATCTGATCTGACCTTCTGCATTACAGTGGCCAGAGGATTTTGTCATAATCCCACAATTTATGGTGCAGCTAAAGCCCTGTAGGAAAATGACATCCAGTTTTCTATTAATGGCAGTGGCAGGCTGCCCAAAGCACAGAAATAGCAGGTACCAGAAGCATGCAGAGGTGCTTCTTATACCAAAGAGCTTCAGTGACAGTCTTTGTTAAAAAAAGATGATCATGAGATAAATTCATTTGCATTCTTTCATATCTTAAAGGAAAAAAATTAAATTTCTTCATTTTGAACAGTTACAGAATACATATCAAGCTACCCAAGCTCATAGGAATCTGCTGGTTCTTGTAGATGATCAGGAAACAGCTGCGAGTGAGAAATCACTGTTCAGCGCTTTTGAAAATAAAAATATATTGTTAGACTGGGAAGAAAATTGTGGTTAGCTGAAGTGAGTTGAAGGCACAAAGCCAATTAGGTTGCACTGACCAATTCTCCTTTTTTTGAGACTCTTTCCATTAGGAGGACAAATTAGCATAGGTACTAACAACATTGTCATGAGCAATACATGCAAGAAAGAAATTCTTATGGTCATGCACCAGAGCTGCCAGTGAGTAATTATTCTCATGTTCCTTTAAACTCTGGGTTCGGCTAAACCAACAGGGCTTCTGAATGCAGTTGCTAAATTGCAGACTGAAAAAATAGTGTGACAAAAAAACCCCCACTTTTTTGAAAAAATGAAAGCAGCTGGGCCTTACTACTTTGAAAAAGTCCTGTGGCCATGAGAAACTGAGAGAGAGTGGGAGTTGCATCAAAGAAGCCAAGAAAAGAGGTGTTTCCCTGCTGATACAGAACCACCATCCTGCTTAATCAACAGTGCCCACATAAACAGATTAGCTAGAATCTGCTGTTCCAAACCAATCTCAGTCTATACAAGAAATAACACAGGCTTCTTACATCTCAAAACCCAAAATATCAAATTATCTAGTAAGAGAAGAAAAAAATATCCAAAACAAGCAGAAACAAAATTCTCAAAACATGGCATAAAAAACTCACAGAACTTACCTAAAGTTTGTCTTTCATTCTCCATGTCATTGCTTAGGTTATCTTCTGAGACATTATCACTGATATCACTTACATATGAGTCATCATCTGATACCTGAGTGTGGGGTGGGGAAAAAAGCAAGATACATCACTCATTAAAATAAACCCAATGCATGTGGACATTATTACTTTCAGCTGCAATTATTGTTTTAATATAATTGAACTGTTTAAGCTGTCTTTCAATACTATAGAAAGGTACTACAAAGTCCTAAGACACATTTGAGTTTGGGAGAGATGGCTATAATTGAAATTTTAACTTGAGACATGCTTTAACTCTCCGTGGCTTCACAACTAAGAAGGCTTTCCTCATATCAAAAGCCAAGTTTTATGGAACCCAAGAGGGAAACAAAGACTTAACAAATTTCAGTATGCATGACATCAGCCTCAAGGTACCTACAGGTACCACAAGGACAGGTATGAATAAGTATTTTTGTGGTGCAATTCCCTGGGCACCTGTGTAATGACTCAAGGCAGACTACAATGCCTGCAGTATCTGCATACAAGCTACTTAATTGCCATCTCCCTCACTGTGTGTGTAAGACTTCTTCATAATACTTGCTACCCTTTATAGTGAAGAGACAATGACAACAAATAAATAAAAATGGCATATTAATTTCTAAATGTTTTGAAAATTTAAATTTTCTGGCAGTCTTCTGATGTACAGTTAGCGCTCAGAAAGATTGCTTGTCAATAAGCAGATAAGAAAATACATCTGAATGATGGCAATCTGCTTGCTCAGACCTCATTTTCTGAAGAACTAGCAGACAGCAGGACTTCCTGTGCATCAAAAAATTCTGTGAGAGAGTCAGCGATAGACAGTCTGCTTTCATTGGAGACCTGGTGAACCAGACCTCTGCCTTCTTCTCTTGAATTTTCCTGTTTAAAAGGAAAAAAAGTTTTGAGCAGGGAAGAAACCCAAACAACATTCATGCATGCAATTCCACAGTCTCCTAACTTGAAGGGCTGTAAAACACTGGGAGAAGATTGCACATGCTCCTCTTCAATTTACATGAAAGATAGCATGTGTTTCAAAGTGGGATTCAAAACCAAAGTAAAACAGACTAAAGAGAAGGAAAAAGGAAAAAAGGCAATGCATATTGAGTAAAACACCTAAGGTACTGCATATAAAAATGCTTTGCTATTTGAATGATTTAGCCAGATATATCCAAGTGTATCACCAAAAAGCCCATAAGAGAACAAAACTTCCATCTCTTTAAATTACACCCTAGATTCACATTCCTTCCTGATCCTAGCAAATTAATTCATCTTTTCCTGCTCAAGCCTTGCTTAATGCAAAGTCTGCTGTAGAGCAGCCTACAAAATTCAGAGGGGTAAAGTTGCTTTGTTTATAATAGTATGTTTTCCTAGCTCTTTTTCCTCACTAATTTTCTGTGCTGTGCTTTGGAAATTATTCCTTCATATCCACACCTGAGATATCTCCATGTTACCCAAAACCAACATATTATCAAAGCCACGTAACCAGAATTGCCTTTGCTGCTGCACATTTGACTGCCGGAGAGATCCTGGTAGCCCCTCGCACTGCAGGTCATTGGTGTCAGCAGAGCTCCAATAGGTGGCCTGGCAAAGGTGGGTGACCAGTGAGACTTCTCTCTCATTCTGTGGTGGCAGTAAAGAAGTTGGAGAAGCTTGGGTACTACTGTTTTCCCTGATAACTCCAGCAAGGCAAAGGAAATGAGCTGTGCTGGCCCAAATGAGTGTATTAGCTGCTCCCAAGATTTTCTGCATAAGGTGCTTTACTATCTCATAACCATGACTTCCACATCATAATTTTGCAGGAATTGTAGTATTTTATTTTCAGAACAACATAATGAACAACCTGACAAGCCCAGAATCAAGCTGACACACCTTCTTTCAAAGCTTTTCTGTTGGTAGGTTTTGCAATTGTATGGAATGTTATTTGGTACACGCTGATAATGGTGACATGGAGACAAAACAAACTGCTATACAAAAGACTTGAAAAACCCCTCCTTTTACAGCAGGGATAAAAGAGAACCTCAGAACTGTCCCTCCTGGAGAAAGGCAGTTATACTAGCCTACAAGCAAAAAAAAAAACCAACCTTACACACATAAGCATTGCTACTGGGATTATTTCCAATACTATTTTGAATCTGAGAAGGAAAGCGAGCAGGAAAGACTCATAAAAGAGCAACAGGTTTTTATATCTAACACATAAGCTTCAGTTTTTCTTGTTCCATATTCCCACTTTGGCATGATGAACTACAATTAAATTACCCAACAGACAAAACTTTTCCCTTATGCAAAGGCTTGAGATCCTATTTCATACTGCTTCAATTTTCACAGGTGGATCACAGCACCCCATGTATCATTTAGTGACAAGTTTTGTGCAGTGGACTTGTCTTCCTCAAAGCAGCACTACTGTATCACAGTCCTTACACAGTCTTAAAATGAAGCTTCTCCAGTATAAGTGATTTCATCCTTAAGTTCCATCCCAAGCCATGCCAGAGGGAATTTGTGAATGCAACCTCCAAAGGACCTTCTGAAAGCTATTTTTGTCATGTGTGTCTGTGTGTGTGTGTAGCACACAGCACAAGATTCAGAAATAACCCATTGTCATTGCAAGGACCTCCACTAAAAAAGAAAATAACTCCTGAAACTAAGTAACAATGCATTAATGCTTTTCATGCTGGATAGCAGTTTAAGGGCTGTTCAAATTCTCGTGAGTTTTAAAGCAAAAGGCATTAGAATGATCAACTACCTACAGGAAAAAAACCCCAAAACTGAACAGCTAAATATGACCAAAACACAGCTCCACTACACCAGAACTGAACCAGAAGCGAACAGATGGAATCTGTTCTGGAATGACTAAACTGTCTTTAAAAATAAAAGGAAATAATTAGTTACATAAAAGCCCCAGCATTACATGCACTCAAGTTCTAATGAAAGATTTATACTACAAGCACAGCAGAGGTTTCTGTATGAGTTAACATTTAGGAAAATCCATCAGAAATAACACAGTTCTGGCTTTCCTCACTTACACCATTAACACCTACATCTTATGACCTATAATTACACCATATCTACATGCATTCTGCAGCCAGCCAAAAAACTATCTGAACATCAGTGGAATCTCAAACTGTCTGACTGGATGTAGAAGAGTCCCTGGCTTCACACAAAGAAGACTAAATGGCTGAAAGGGCTCTTCTATGCCCCATTAACTTTGATCCTTTCATGGAAATGTCTGGTAATTGTTCTAAACCTTACATGATCCACACTGGTAGCCAACATTCTGGGCTAACAGCACTTAGGTGGGCGACAACAGATTACATAACTTAACAAAGGATTAAAAGGGCAAGAGAAACAGTGGCAGGGGGTGACAAGTGGCAGCTCTGTACATGCTGAATGAGAAGCAGGCGAGGGAGAACACCAGGAACCGGTAGCAAAAAGCAATGGAAGATGTGCTCAGGAAACCTGCTCACAAGGCAAGTCTTTGAAAACAAACACCACACAATGCATCACCAGAAATGGCTCACAACCAGGAAAGCAGACTGGCTTTGCCAACACGCCACGCCACGGGGGAGACACGGAGAACAGGACAAGAGGCAGCTACGCAGCGCTGTCTGCGCGTAGGGGCTGGAGGAACAGCACATCACTGAAAGAGGAAATCCATACCCACCTTCACCAAATCTGGGCTTGATTTTGCATTAGATGCTGAATCAATGATCTTAGATTCGGCATGTATTCTGCGTAACCGGTCTTTAAGATCTGTGTTTTGTGCTATTGCCTGGAATATTTAACAAAAATATCGGGGATATAAAGTTCTCTCAACTAACTCGAACGTGGCTTTATTGTATAAAAAGGGGCAAAGACTATTTAAAGTGTAATATAACACACCACCACATCCCTTTTTTTTACTGGTTCAGCGAATCCTTTATTATAAATGCTTCAAACCTTACTATTTATCTGTCAAATTAAAACTGTTTTTTTCTAGTGTGAGGAAACAGAGACATCAGCGGAGGAAAAAAGTCAAAGATGGCAGGGATATTTTTCTTTTCAAGCTCCTTTCCCTCACCCCCATCTCCAATATAGCCTCTCTCAACATTAGTTCTTGCCACATCCAAAACCATTTGATTTTCCCACACAGTTTCCTTTGCCTTTCAATGACAGAGAAACAAGACATAAATTCACACAGGTAACAGGTACAACTCGTGTCCTGTCAGATTGTAATGGCAATGGTCAGAATAAAAAGCCTCTATTGCAAACTCATGTTTATTACATGTTATTTACTTATTCTGGGTGCATCCAATAGACAGATGTCAGTTAGAGTAGACTTTTAGGAAGAGAGCCTAACCCTGCAATGAAAATGTCTCTGAAATAAAAGACTGTATTATTAATTTTGGAACAGTATTGAAGACTTACATCCCATTTTAGTGATCTGAATCAATACCAGGATGTGGAGAACCCTGCTGTTTACACATCCGCTTTATCCCACAAATGCTTCTGATTTTGGCAGTAATTTGCGTTGAAAATTCTCTTGGGTGCAGGAAAGCCAGTAAGCTCAATGTGATGATGGAGGGGAGAAAACTTATTTCTGGCTTTACCTATATTGGTCTGAATTTGCCATAAAGATATATATATCCCTACTGTGTCAAATGCTCAGCACTGTGTTAAATGCTCACCAGGCAAGTGTAAAATAGATCTCCTGTAAGGACAACTTCCCATTTTCACTGTTTGCTACAAAATCTTTTCTTCTTTCTGCTGTCTTCTTCCTCCCCCCAAACCAGAAATATTGTATCTTTTCCCATTCTGTATTTCCTTTTCTTAGAATGTGTGTAGGTCAAGGATACTATCTTAATGAGGGAGAAGCAGATATGCTAGTTTTGTGGTGGTTTATCCACTTTAAATCTACTCATTTTTCTTCCACTGCCAGGCTGATGGGAGCATAACAGACTTATGTTTGATAGCTTTCAACCTGTGATTTTTTTTCATTCCTCCTGTACAGAAAACAAACTGAAGCAAACAACAAACACTAAGCCAAAGTCATTAACACAAGACTCTTTCTTGCAAGGAAGTCTAAAAAAATATGTCAAGTTTATCATATCCATGCTTACAAATGTCTTCAAAGGAAGTTCATTCAATTCTCCTACAGGATCTCTGCTGTACAGGGTGAGAAAGTTTCTGTTGGCATGACATTACATATCTGCAGATTAAAAAAAGGGCCCTCATAGGTGATTACCTTGCTGAAACAGCCAAGGTTCACAAATGACTTCTGGATGGGCTACAGGACTGATTAAGCATCAGATGAAACCTAACAGAATCATTTTTTAGACATGTACAGGATAAAGATGGACAACCACATTTCACTGCCCAGAAAACAAAATAATTCATGCTGAGTGTTCACTAAGTTCAGCAATCTTAAAACTGATTTTCTGATATAAAATGGTAGACAAATAACACTGAAAAAATAAAAGTCATCTATTCAAATCACATGTGATTTGTGAACACATGCAGCTTTTGTAAAGGAAAGGGAAGTTTTCACACTGAAATAATTCTAAGACAATCTACATCACACTGATCAGTGCTAGAGAGTCTCCCCTGCCCCTGATATGGTGTTTGCAATAAACACTGAAATTTTAAGGCCAAGGTAATGATTGCCCTCATTGCCCTGGAATCAGATCAGTTTGGTTGACATTTTTAAACATGACCAAGCTGAAAAGTTCTGATCTCCACCAATTACATAAAGCACACCAATCAAACCCCCACCTTTTTAAAGAGCACAATCTTTGTCATTTAGAACTCTGCCCCAATAGCTCTGTTGCTGCTTTTAGAGGACTGAGAGATAATTGAGGTTGAGAGACAATATAAACAAGTTGTACTTGAATTTGCTTTGCAGTGTCTTGGTGCAGCATGGTGAAGCTCTAGTGCATTAGAAGGGACAGCTGAGTGCATTCAGCCTCACCTTTGTTTTATGCCAAGTCATACAGGGAATATTTGAGTGCTGCTTAGGTATAGAAAAGGAAAAGGAAACCTGCAACCCATCAGAAGCGAGTAGTAGCATGTTCAGAAAGAAAGCAGACTCCTAGTCACAGAGCAGCCCTCTGATTCTTCATCTCAAATGATACAGATTAGACTACATACCTAAATCAATCCATCAAACTCCAATGATTTGACAATACCTTTTACATTTAGCAAAGTCTCTGAAAAACATGATCTATAATAACTTACTATGATTAAATTCTGCAAATTTTAGCACACAGCTGACACTAAAGAAAAAGAAATTAACTACTCTAAAATTTAAAAGTAGTATCTGATGACAATGAAGCTTGGTGAGCTTTAGCATGTCACTTACAGATGTTAAGGCATTCTTCAAGCCCACTATTTGTGCAGATGGAGATGAAGATGCATCGTACTCCAGCATCTGCTTCAGCTTTTCTCTCTCTGTAGAAATGGTGCTGAAAGCTGACCTCAAGGTGAAGTAAACTAGAACCATTTCATAAAAAGTAACAGTTAAAAACAACTGCAGCCAATTGTATACACACCAACTATATAAAACTCCAATAAAGCATCATTATGGTGACAGAAACAAGAATTTAGGTTGAGAGATCCAGGGTGGGTTACTAAAAACAAGTAATATTAATCAAGGTTATGGGGTAGATTTTTTGTAGGAGACATGTTTATGGTGAAGGCTACTGTGTTGACTATATTAACCACAGTCAAAATTACTCTGATTCTTTGTGACAGATGGCAACAAAGCTAACTAACCACATCTGCTCTTCACTTGCTTTTGTTTCCCAATTAGCTTGAATCTTCAGATGGTCATGACTCTATTCCATATTCGTCTATAAATTCCAGTGGGGGAGAAGAAGAGACAAAAGGGAAAGAAAATCAAATAGGAAAAAAAAATCATCAAAAAAAGGTAGCCATAACACATATTGTGCCACAGATACAAGGTTAGTAGTTTCCCCACAAGCAAGTCAACTGTGGTGTTGTGGTTTGTTATCTCTTTCTGTGATAGAGAAATTTCAGCTTGTTGGATTATTTAGTGACTCAAAGGGTCAAATCCTGAATGATGTGCATGCTGTGCTGCTACTTCTACTCCTTCCTGAGGCACTATCACCAGCCCAATACGTTTAAACCAGACAACAGATCATGCAATTTTAACACCACTACAGAGGGTTTTAGAGGGGAAATGCACTTTTAGAATTTTTTTCACCAGTACAACTTTGCATCTTCCCTTTAACCACAAGGAATAAAAAATTATTTGAGCAGTACTTGTCTGAGCAGGTTTTCCATGTTCATCTGACTGGATTATTACAGGACTTCTGAGGACCTAATCAAGGCCTGTAATACAGCCATGAGACTTGCCAATGCAAAAATGAATCCATTTACAGGGAAATGAAGATAGAAAATCTGAGCATGGATGCATGAAAAGGGCAAACAACAAGAAATTTCCAATACTTCTCTCTCCTAATCATCCACTCTGAGTTAACCTGAATCTTCACCGTTTCACTGAGTAGTTATGTAACCCAATTTAATCTTCTGAAAAATGCTGCTTAAGCTATATTCCAACACTGCAAACCATTACCAAAGCTAATTCTTATACCATCCAAAGAAATCTTTAACAGTATCACAGGGTGGAGAGGGAAATATATCCACTGTGATCTATTCTGTTAGGCTTTCTTTGATATGTAGATAACATGGCCAGAATCTTCTGTGACCTTCAATGCCATTTAATATATTGTATACTAACTTTACTTTTCAAGAACTATTGCCTACTAAATGACTAGTGTTACATTTTATTCAATTTGTATCAAAAAGGTGACACAAGAGGTTTCTCCACTACTCTTTCTGGGAACTGGGGTGCTATGAAGTACCTTCAGAGAAAAATTCTTTATCCTCCTACTAAAATGATTCTGCAGTCATTACAACAAAATTAATTGTCCCTTCAAATGTGTGGATCAATCTAACCAAAATTTCTGTCACGGACAATTCCAGTAAGATGATCTTGAGTAGGTGATTTCTTTGCTCTGCTTAACAGCAGCTTTTCCCAAAGCATCCCACCCTCACTTCTTCTCTTCTTCTGGAAAACATACGTCAGTTTTGACTATAATTGGCTTTATGGAGTTTACTACTTACATACATCCCTTACATAACAGAATCAAGATACATCAGCACCAAAGAGGAACAGCAAGCAAAGAATGCTTGTTGATACCATCAACCATTATCATGTGCCAAAGGGGACAAAGCCAATACTCCCAAAAGCCTTTCAGCTAATAAATGCTTAAGTGCCTCCCTCACCAAGATCACTTAAACAATAAAAATGTTTCTGGTGCGAGGGTGATGGAACAGAGCACTCCTAATGAAAAATGATTTTGAGGGAAGAAATATTTCTAGTCAAGCTCCCCCTCTGGCTGCTTTGCATGATTTACTCTTCTGTATTCACTAAAAATAGGTTACTACCATAGCAACCCTTGCATCACCAACAAATGTTGACTCTGAACTACAGTGAAGCACACAGAATATAGAAACATAAATGTGCCCATATGCACAAATATGCACGCAAACACAAGAGAGTAAAGTCTGCTGTATTTCTTAAAGTCTGCTGTATTTCTAGCAACTGATATTCGGTATTTTACCTTTTGGCAACAAATAAAACAACCTAGCACATGTTTTTAGCACATAAAACAAGGGGTAGTTCTCTATTAAATAAAAACTGTAAAAAGTGGTGATTAAGCCACCTTTTTCAAACTACTCGAGATCTCAACACTTGCAATTTCTCAAGGAAATTAAAGAAATGGTGTTTTCTAAACAATAAACAGGAAGCATTCTCAGAAGTCATATCATTACCTAAACTGGGATGATATAACACCATTTATAAAAGACAATTTCATGTACCTTTATGTGCAACATGAAATAAGTCCTCTTGCATTTTAGTAAATTCTGATGATGTTTCAGAGCCATCAGAGTAATTTTTCTCCTCTACAAAATCTATCGTAGATAAGTTTGGATTGGAAGCATGCAGTCTCATAGGGGCAGAAAATACTGAAGGCACCTGTAAGTAGGATAGTAATTTGTGATGTTTTTATAAAAAAAATTTTGTTGTATTGTACCCACCTGAATGCCACGTTGGAGAACCAAAAATGAAAAAGTTACTGTCAATTACCAATAAGCTTTAAAAGGATGACACCTGGCAAATGAAACCAGAGATACAACTTTGCCCAAGGTGCCATAATGGGAGATTGCCAAACTCAAAAAAACAAGCCCATTGAGAGCTGTTACATATGCTAGGTTATTTCCCCCCACTTATAAGTATGTAATCACATGGCTTCTGGATGCAAATGTGCAAAAAACTGTCCAGGGAATTTGCAAAGATCTGTACTCATCAAAAAAAAAAAAAAAAAAAACAAACCCAAAACAACAGAACAAAAGAACCCAACAAATTAGAGAAGACTGACAATGGGTAAAAAACATGGCCAGTGTCCTGAAGCCTGAAGGTAACAGGACAGATTCTATTTCAAACATCAATAACATAACATTTGTGTTTTGTCTGATATATTACCACTTAAAATGAGCTAACACAGGACTCTCCTTAAAAAGGATTCGTATTTCCTGAACTGGTCATGCCAAGAAGTGATCAGTAACTAAGGTTTGGAGGAAGGTGGGCTCTGAAAGGACTGACATTACCTGTAACATTCCTTTAGCCTCTTTCCCAACAACTCTGGATCGCCACCTCCTGTGTGTTCTCTTTTCTTTCTTTGGGCTTTCAAAAGGTCCAACCTTTTAACAACACGCAGAACAAAAACAATACAGACTGACTTAAATCCAATGCTAAGAAACACCTCAGTTCTTTAGGATTTGGAGTTATTTTTTGGAATTTTAAGGGAAAATAGTTTTTGGTTTTGTTTTTAAACAACAAACCTGCATAGCATTTATAGCAGGTGCTGAATATGTCCTGTGAAGAACATCCATGCTCTGTAACAGCTGGTTCATTTCCAGTAAGTATGTGTGACAGTTGGAGAGGTCTGTTTGGAACAAGAGAATATTTTCAGTTGCCCTAAAATAACAGACACACTGACAGTTTTCTTTCTTTGTAGGTTAGTCCTGTTTTGATTGCAGCTAGCTTAAGTTATTCATTGACTAAAAGCATTAGACTGCTGGATAAAATGATTGTATCCTATAGTCAAGTTTAAATTCAAAATATTGAAATGCATCTATGTGGTGTGTATAATGATCATGATATCTTTTCCTAGCTGGATGCAGAAGAATGAGAGTAATGTGATAATTTCTGCCGTTTGAGATTTGTCAGAGCTCCTCATGGTGAGGTTAACAATGCCACAGGCATCAACACTGAATTGTACATTCAGACCTAGAGGTGAGGCTCCTCTGCATTAGAGATGAAGCTCACTGGTAGGTAGAAATTTAAAAAATAAATATCACATCGACATTGACAACATGAGAAAGATCTTCCTGCTCTTAGGAAAGCATGAAAGCAGAAGGTGACTTTGAAGTACAAAGACTTAGTACTTTTTAAGTTACTAAGTTTTGAACATCCTATGTTTTTTGAACATCCTTTTCCAGCCTAAGGATGTTCAAACCTTACTACTGAACATGATGTTCCCATATAAAAGAACATATACTGAAATGCATTGGCTTCTTGAAGAGCTGCCCACAATTGATACCCCCACATCCAAAATTACCAGTTCTTTTGCAAAAAAAGTGAGTAACCATTTAATCGACAACCACATCTTTCCTTCCTCCAGTTTCAGAGAAAATTCTAACAGTAATGACTACTTAGTGTATAATACTCTCATTGTTAAGGAAAAACTAGGGGAAATATTAGGCTACTTTCAATTTTCTTCAAATGTAATTACCTCTTGAGCATTTTTCCATGTCTTCAGAAGACTGTAGCCAAGATGAAATCCTGGACTCATTACTCGAAAAAGAAAACGACAAATTACCTCCAGTTGACGTTGAATTCTGTTTGGTCAAGCTGCCTGCCTGTTTCAAAGAAGAACAAGTGAAGCATTAACACACAATATTTTAGTGTTTTATGCACAAATTCTGGCAACCAGCAGTTGAGGACCATGACCATGGACAAGGACTGAAGGCATCAATTACATGGAGGGGGAAAAGTGTATGATCTAGACTAGGTATATAGTCATTGAGCACGATGGCATGATAACTAATGTAACTGCTGTCCACAAGCCGTAGAAAAACTCAAGGAACCATGAAAATTTGCTGAAAACTGTATTTTGAGGAAGGGAAAAGTTCTGTGTTCAACTTAACACAGTCTTAAGCTGCGCCAAAGGAAATATAGGTTGGATATTAGGAATAAGTTTTTTATGAAAGAGTGATAAAGTACTTGAATGGTCTGCCCAGGGAGGTGGGGGACTCACGATCCCTGGTTGTGTTTTGAAAAAAGACTGGATGTGGCACTCAGGGCCATGGTTTAGTTGAGGTGTTGGGGCATGGGTTGGACTTGATCTTAAAGGTCTCTTCCAACCTAGTAATTGTGTAAAATAATTAAAGTACCATATCTGAAGAGGACCAAATTCAGACATTCTATTCCTCCTCCATGCTTCCCAAAGAAGCCCCAAAAGTAACTAAGATGTAACACACTAATTTGTTAACGCTATTTTTCAGTGTAAAAGCAAGACATCATTTAAAATTTTGGCACTAGATGTCATTTAAAATTTTACACAAGGTTGAATGATTTCAACATGAATTTGGCTCAGCAGTCCTTAATACAGGGATGGCCATACAGCTTATCTGGGTAAAGACTACCCTTTGACAACATCTCAGTAAACATTTTCACACTTAGTTGAATTTAAGCTGTGCCCATCATCAGATGCTCCAAGAGGTGATGGAAATTCTGCTTAAGAGCTAATTGAGGAGTATAATTAAATAGCTTCCAATGGGAAGACATTTTTACTCAGTATTATTACCAATTGATTGTGCCCTATAATGCTGTTTTCTTCTCTGATGTAACTACAAATAATAGCCACTCAAATACCTAATTATTTGTAATTATCTTACTAAACCTTTCATTTTCAATAAAACCCAGGTCAGTAAGATGCACAAATCACATGGTTTGTCAACATCTTGTTAATAATCAGTTTTAAACTGTTTCATCCTAGTGCCTTTACACAGCCATTTTACTTATGGTTATGAGAAAAGCTGACTAAATTGTTTGGCTCTTCTCTGAAGCATACAATTTACAAACTTGGTTACAAACTTGGTTACAACCTCCTGCTCACCTTATATCAGAACTCCAGCAGTACTAATTTTAAATCTATTAACAAGAAACTTCATCTACATCTCAGTCAGCTGCAGCTTTCTTAGCTAGCCTTTTTAAGTTTACAGCATAACTACCAACCTGAGTTTCAGAATAAAATAAAATGCACCATCCATGTGATATCATTTGGTATTTGGTGAATATGCAATAGCAATAAGCATCAGTGAGCACACTTGTTTTTAAATTAATCAATGCAGCTTAGCTGGTTTACTCCTACATAAAGCTGTCTGAGCTTTAGCCATATATTTAGACATATATATACACACACATATATCCAAATAATAATCTCATCACCTTTAAAAGCACAACTAAACTGAATTTAATGATGGGCAATTATATTGGCATTTTGTGAACCAATTCCACATTTATCTCTTCATTGATTGGCCTCACCTAACCAGCTTTTCCAGAACTCATATACATAAGTGAGATGAGCTAACAGTAATGACTACTTAGTGTATAATACTCTCATTGTTAAGGAAAAACTAGGGGAAATATTAGGCTACTTTCAATTTTCTTCAAATGTAATTACCTCTTGAGCATTTTTCCATGTCTTCAGAAGACTGTAGCCAAGATGAAATCCTGGACTCATTACTCGAAAAAGAAAACGACAAATTACCTCCAGTTGACGTTGAATTCTGTTTGGTCAAGCTGCCTGCCTGTTTCAAAGAAGAACAAGTGAAGCATTAACACACAATATTTTAGTGTTTTATGCACAAATTCTGGCAACCAGCAGTTGAGGACCATGACCATGGACAAGGACTGAAGGCATCAATTACATGGAGGGGGAAAAGTGTATGATCTAGACTAGGTATATAGTCAATGAGCACGATGGCATGATAACTAATGTAACTGCTGTCCACAAGCCGTAGAAAAACTCAAGGAACCATGAAAATTTGCTGAAAACTGTATTTTGAGGAAGGGAAAAGTTCTGCAAAATTAAATCAACTTAACACAGTCTTAAGCTGCGCCAAAGGAAATATAGGTTGGATATTAGGAATAAGTTTTTTATGAAAGAGTGATAAAGTACTTGAATGGTCTGCCCAGGGAGGTGGGGGACTCACGATCCCTGGTTGTGTTTTGAAAAAAGACTGGATGTGGCACTCAGGGCCATGGTTTAGTTGAGGTGTTGGGGCATGGGTTGGACTTGATCTTAAAGGTCTCTTCCAACCTAGTAATTGTGTAAAATAATTAAAGTACCATATCTGAAGAGGACCAAATTCAGACATTCTATTCCTCCTCCATGCTTCCCAAAGAAGCCCCAAAAGTAACTAAGATGTAACACACTAATTTGTTAACGCTATTTTTCAGTGTAAAAGCAAGACATCATTTAAAATTTTGGCACTAGATGTCATTTAAAATTTTACACAAGGTTGAATGATTTCAACATGAATTTGGCTCAGCAGTCCTTAATACAGGGATGGCCATACAGCTTATCTGGGTAAAGACTACCCTTTGACAACATCTCAGTAAACATTTTCACACTTAGTTGAATTTAAGCTGTGCCCATCATCAGATGCTCCAAGAGGTGATGGAAATTCTGCTTAAGAGCTAATTGAGGAGTATAATTAAATAGCTTCCAATGGGAAGACATTTTTACTCAGTATTATTACCAATTGATTGTGCCCTATAATGCTGTTTTCTTCTCTGATGTAACTACAAATAATAGCCACTCAAATACCTAATTATTTGTAATTATCTTACTAAACCTTTCATTTTCAATAAAACCCAGGTCAGTAAGATGCACAAATCACATGGTTTGTCAACATCTTGTTAATAATCAGTTTTAAACTGTTTCATCCTAGTGCCTTTACACAGCCATTTTACTTATGGTTATGAGAAAAGCTGACTAAATTGTTTGGCTCTTCTCTGAAGCATACAATTTACAGACTTGGTTACAAACTTGGTTACAACCTCCTGCTCACCTTATATCAGAACTCCAGCAGTACTAATTTTAAATCTATTAACAAGAAACTTCATCTACATCTCAGTCAGCTGCAGCTTTCTTAGCTAGCCTTTTTAAGTTTACAGCATAACTACCAACCTGAGTTTCAGAATAAAATAAAATGCACCATCCATGTGATATCATTTGGTATTTGGTGAATATGCAATAGCAATAAGCATCAGTGAGCACACTTGTTTTTAAATTAATCAATGCAGCTTAGCTGGTTTACTCCTACATAAAGCTGTCTGAGCTTTAGCCATATATTTAGACATATATATACACACACATATATCCAAATAATAATCTCATCACCTTTAAAAGCACAACTAAACTGAATTTAATGATGGGCAATTATATTGGCATTTTGTGAACCAATTCCACATTTATCTCTTCATTGATTGGCCTCACCTAACCAGCTTTTCCAGAACTCATATACATAAGTGAGATGAGCCTGAGGAAAGAAGTAGGGATTGCCAAGAAGCAGACAAGAGAGAGCTTGTGTAGCTCCAGTTTTCATAGTTTTGCTTTGGATCAGCACAGTTAAGCTTTAGAATCCAGGAATTCCACATAAACATGTAGATACCTACACCTGTCTCTCAACAACAATAAAAAAAAAATCTATGTGAAAACCAATCAGGTGTTGCAAAAAGTAAATAAAAAATGCAACTCAAATTTCACTTGATATATATTTCTCAAAATAACCTAAGTGCTGGAGTGATATCAACTAACACCAAGCTAAGGCTGGTGTAAATTGGCAGACTTCCATTTAGCTTGAGCACAGCTAAGGTGATTAACTGCAGCTTAAGAACTATCCCCTTCTATTTTTCACATGAAAATAAGTAGGGCTTCTTTGCAGTGCAAATCTGGATTAATAGTCTGAATTAAAGTCTTTCATGCCAAAGAAGAAATGGTTAGTTTCCTGACAGTAAGCAATAGATTTTAGATCTTATGCTGCTCACATAGGTTTCTTTGGTTTGTGTTTTTGGGTTTTTTTCTGAGAGCATAAACATACCATGGACTTTGCAATGTTCCACTTCTACCCTTGATATTCTCCCCCACTTCTATCCCTGCTGTCTTTCAGGAGAAAATAACTAAATGTGCACGGGAGATTTGCCATTCCCCTGCAGACAGTGCCTGAGGAGAGCAGGCTGTCAGAGCCACGGAGCTGCTGCTGGCACACGAGATGCGTGCAGACGATTCTGCAGAACGGCCTCGTGACCGCAGGGTGAGATATTGTTCCTTCAGCTGCCCGCTCACACTGACCCCCTCCCACTCCACCACCAGCAAAAAGCTGCTCAGACACACGGCTGTGTTTGCTGAAACTCATTCTCAGTTACAGGATAAAGCGAGGAACTGCGGGTAGTGGGGAACAAGCCTGCGCAGATCATAAGGTAATTACACCAGGGAAAAGCAAGCCTTGGGTGGAAGGAGAACAAGAAGGGCATTGCTGCTTAGGGATCATTCTGGAGCTGACAGAAACAGTTACTACATCTCCGCTGAAGTAACACAGAACAGTTTTTTTTTATTCTCAAATGCAACCAGTGATTCTACACTGGAGCAGAAGAGCTGCTTTCTTTGGGTGAAGGTCAGCCAGTCCATGCACAGACAGCTGAAGGCACAGAGGCTGTGTTCAGGCACGGAACACACACTCCATCTTCCATGAAACTGCAAGGAGGACATTTATGGGGTTGGACTGAGCACTTGCCAGGCCATTTGTGAAACTAATTCACAGACTTTACCAAAAGAGAAGTACACTGCTGACTGGACCCATCCAGACTACATATCCACCCACAGCATAGCCCTTGGATTGAACTGAGTAATGCTTCTGCCTCAGTTAAAATATAAATAATGGTCTTCTTGTACAATTCCTTGCATATATAATATATATATATTATGTATTTATACATATAAATATATAAATAATACAATATATGTATAATAATTCCTTGTATGTATAATTTCTTGTATAATATTGGCTTCTTGTATAATTCCTACATACTCCTTAGTGAAGTAGTCAGCTTCATTCAAATAAAAGGGGAGATGGTTTATAAGCTAAAGGATATGCAGCAAAATGCTAAAGGGAAAAAAATACCTAGCTGAGTACTCTTCTGTGACTAGTATTCACCAGCACATATCAGACAAATACTGATATATGTCCCAAAAATTATGGGGATTCTAACTCAATATAGTTTTGAAATTCACAGTGAAAGTACAATTTACTGGATTAAAATAGTGAAAAACTACTAAAAAATTAACAACATCATAAAGGAAAGTGCTCAGGTGTAAATTAATAAATAATAAGCTATGTTCTAAAATGTCAAGAGGAAAATTTAAGTGCCACCACAAACTTCCCTTATGCTCTTTATTTAATGAACACAAATTAGACTAATTTAATCCCTTATGGAAGCTCATTATTTATAAATAAAAACTATTACCTTTCTACCTGGTGTAGGATCACAGAAACCTGGGACAGAGTCCGTGGTAGTAGACACAGGGAAGAAAATGTTATTGGCATCGTGAGGAAACATGGAGATTTCATTCTGGCGGTACATTCTGTGATGGCGAAGTTTCGCTACCCATTCATCAAACAGCTCCTGGGACTTCACCTACACAAAATTTCAAGGGTGGATGACGTTCACATTCAAAATAACTAACAAAGAAATTATGGAATTTTGTGCTCATTAGATAGCTAGCCTGGCTGACCTTTGCCTTGCTTACTGGCAAAGTATCAGGAAAGTTTTTCCAAGGATGCTCCTACCTTGCACACTGTGTGAGCTTAGGCATGAAAGAAAATCAATCGCAAGATAAAGTCAGAGAAAAAAGAAACTACAGTTAGCTATTATGCTTCCAATGAAGAACACAATACTAGAGCAACTTATAGATTAAAAAAACCCTTAAAATTTGAATAAAGCCCCTCACATGTATCATTTCTTAATTGCCATAGTTAAAGCTAGGTCAGTGTTTAATTACAAACAGAAATTTGATTTTGTCGATGTATTTCAAAACAATTTATTCTGCAATTATAAATCCTCATACTTGACCAGAGAAAACACATCTTATAGAAAAGACAAGGATGAAGATACTGAAAATAAAAGCACTTGTGCAAGAAATGAAAAAAGCACTGCTAAACATGAGACTTCTGTTCAGAACAGGGTTACTGATTCTGGGCCCTAAAACAATACAATAAGACCCCTCCAGTTATTAAGTGCCAACTAATCTGATGAGACTAAAAAGTTATTAGTGCAACTGACAAATCTCTTGCTATATATAAAAAAAAAAGTGCTCCAAACTGCACAGCTAACTGCAGTAGTTTGGGAGCAAGGTTATAACAATCTTGAAGACCTACCTTCAGGTGGTATATCTGCTCTTCTGTATCCAAATCTATACATTTTGTTGATTTCTTTACAGACATGACAGAAAGGCCAACATCAATACAGCCATGAAGTTTTCCTCTCTCTATCTGCAAAAAAGTAAAGTAAAACCACAATCACTCCAGGTGAAAGCAAAAGGATAAATATTACCTTCTGTAATCAGCATTTCTTCCCCTTTCAACCTACTGCTTAGAACTACTGAAAACTATTTCTCATTGCCATCAGTAGGGAATTTTTGTTATTTTGGATACTTGTTACTTTATAATGGCCTTAAAGGGTTTCAGATCACTTACATCAGCTCGGCATTTAGAATACTTCAAAATCCCTCTGTCCAAAAAGAAGTATCTCTGTAACAGAAATGTAGAGATTTAAAACCAAACAAAACACACACACAAAAAAGCCCCAAACAGAAAAATAGCACAAACACATCGTCCCCCCTTCCATTTCTCTGGAGAACACTTTCTCTGCTTTTATGCAACCTTTTTGTCACAAAACCACACCAAGTAAGTCCCACTCAAGCTTTCAGATTCACATTCCTTTCCTACCTTGTGCCAGCCTTTCAGAGGCCATTTCCTCTTTTTCAGCAAGCAGCCCTCCTGCTTCTGTGGCTCCTGGGTACAATTCATTGCTCCCCGCAGTCCTTCTACAATTTCCCAGCTGTCCTGCTTAAACAGAAAATCCAAATGTAGATCTTATTTCTTCCAAATAACTGAATTGTTAAGAGAGATTCAAGAAGAAGACTATAAGAAAAAAAGACAAAACCCAATTGATGTTGAAATATAACCAAGGATCCATCTTTGCACTTTGTTGTGTACCATCAGAGAGGTAAGGTCCTTTTTAATTGTGATAGAAACAATACCACTAAACAAAATACAATTTTTATGACATCATCCTTCATTGAATTTTATGTATCTTTTCCTGCACATACATACACACAGTGCATAACCACAGCATAGCCACAATTTAGCAAAAAGCCTTCTGTCATTAGAGACAGAAAATGTCCTATGTTAAAAGGATAGGTTTTGTAGGTTATGAAGCAAAAAATAAAACACTAAAAATGAAGATATTTTTTCTATAAAACTCTTTTGTTACTCGGTAACTCAAGGTTTTGTGTTTGGTGTAAATTGCAGTCTCCCTGAAGTAAAAATAATAAAATAAATCAAACTAAACTGAAAACAATATAAAAATCCAGGGAAGTAGTATGAGGAATATAACATAAATGGAAACTACAAGAAAAACAGAAGTCATCCTTCACCAGATTATACCAATTAAAAGCGAATCTCTCTTTTTTGCTACCACGAACTCTAAAATGAAAGACTTTGCTGCAACAAACCAGAGAAGAGTCTAAATCTCATAGTATTTTTAAAGCTTTTATTTATGGAACAACTACAAATGACAATGTAACATGAGTTTCAAGGTTTCTGATGAGAGATCTCATGCATTATTTATTGCCAGGATTTGGCAGATGCAGCATTATAAATAACTGACAGGAAATCGTATGTGCTAGCACCATCCCCTTATATTTGAAAAAGATAAAGACCAGCAAGTGTGCTAGCTGTCCTCATTTATCCATCTTTAGAATCCTTAAAATTCCCCTCTATAAACCCAGAAAAAAATTACATCAGGTAATGTGCTCATTACTTGTGTAATAAGGCATTACAAGCGAGCCATCTTTGGAAAGGCATCTAACAATTCCACCACACTCCATTATTTCTGTTACTCTCCCTGTGCCTCATTTAACAGAAAAACTATACTTTAATACATAGAGTATGATAACAGAAAAGGACTAGTATGAAGCACATTAGGGAGAAGAGAACTATTCTAGGTAGATAAGTACTCTAGGTAGATAAGTACTCAGTGCTCCCTGTAACAAAGGGAAGTATTCCCAAAAAGAACTTGGCTGCCTCAAAAAAAAAAAAAAAAAAAAATTTAAAAGAAAAATGAAATAAAATAAAATAAAACCAGCAAGTGTGCTAGCTGTCCTCATTTATCCATCTTTAGAATCCTTAAAATTCCCCTCTATAAACCCAGAAAAAAATTACATCAGGTAATGTGCTCATTACTTGTGTAATAAGGCATTACAAGCGAGCCAACTTTGGAAAGGCATCTAACAATTCCACCACACTCCATTATTTCTGTTACTCTCCCTGTGCCTCATTTAACAGAAAAAACTGGTAAGCTGCTCTGCTTTCCTGCTTTGAGTTTAGTGTGCCACACTCACCACACAATGAGCCACAAGCAGTGGAAATGTGGGGCTGAGCAGCTCCTGACAACCAGCACCCTACAGACCATGCAATGATGTTGTACTGCCTCAGCACAAGTCCTAACCAAAGTTTTTATGAGGGAATATGTTTTGTCATATAATTCTAATTAAGAACTAACAGCAGCAGCTATGATATTAAGAAAAATGTTGTGTTTATGGCTTTGTTTCTTTCTTCTTGAAAGTATCCAGAAGAACTTAAAAGCTGCTTCGCCCAAATACCAAACAAGCTATTTCCCTTGTCTTCCCAAAATATATTAAATTGCAGTACCCAAGCATGTAACTTTTCTACTGAGAATTAATCTGGTAGTAGTGAACAGTAGATCCTTTTCAATATTTCAGTGTTGTACCTAATATAGGAACTCTCTCCAGCTTTGGGATCAAGATTCCACAGTTTGGTTAAGCACAAACACAGTGTATCTTTGATTGCAGGAGACAGCAGAAATTTGATCTCTATCAAGGAACTTTTACAGTATCATAGATCATCTTGGTTTGGAAGGGACCTTACAAGACCATCTAGTTTCAACCCCCCTGCCATAGGCAGGGACACCTTCCACTAGACCAGGTTGCTCAGAGCCCCATTCAACCTGGCATTGAACACTGCCAGGGCTGGGACATCCACAAGTTCTCTGAGCAGCCTGCTGCAGTGGTATCACAGCTTTCACAGTAAAAAATCTCCTAACAGCTAATCTAAATCTCCCTTCTTTCAGTTTAAGACCATTTCCCCCTGTCCTATTACTATGTAAAAAATCCTTCTCTGTCTTTTTTATATGCTCCTTTAAGTACTCAAAAAGGCTGCAATGAGTCACCACGGAACCTCATCCTTCCGTAAGGATAAGCTTAGAAAGAAAGGGACTCCTGAAATGAGACAGACCCATGATACTGTATGTGTGAGGTGAAAAGAAGCAGCTGAGAAATAGCTCAGCCAATTACACTCATCTGGAATAAATACAGTGTTAATAGTTTTGATCAGAACACAGTTTTCTTTATTTCTTTTTAGTACAGAATACAACCTTCCCTGCATTACAACTCAGATTTTACCTGGACCTCTCCTGCCGTCCAGACACAAGGTGTCTCTCACATTCCTGCAGGAAAGTCACATTTATCACAGTTCTTCAGGTGAGCAATGTGGCCTAAGAATGTGCCTGCTCAAATCAAAAGTGTGAAAATGGGAAGAAAATCTGAAGTGGAAGCACTGCTTCCCCTCAAGCAGGCTGGACAGCCTGCCAAATCTCAGGCAGAAGGCAAGTCTGCTACTCATCTCTCACCCTGGGAACCTCACACTTCAATTGTCAGCTGTACATAAAGGTGGCTGAGTTGACTTAGAAATGGATCCTGTTAAAAGCTCACAGAATTAACAATTTGGGGACCTGCTGGATACATGCAAGGTGCCATGATTCGTTAACAGAATCTGGTCCTCTTCCATATACGTCCTTCCAGATGAACCCAACCTTTCCCACCTGAACAAACTCTCACATTTTTCGAAAACTCTGCTGCTGTGACTGGCTTTGAATCCATTTGCTCAACCCAGACCCTAAAGTTCTTGACCAGGCTTTTTCTTTTGCAAGAGATTTGACACCTCACTGAATGAGGAAAGAGCATCAGTTGGCTATTCCTGGGAGCAGCTGCAGAAGTGAAAGAAAACTGCTTACTCTCTAAAATGAAGGCAAATGAATCAGGCTGGTCGATTATCATCTCTACTCATCCCTCTGAAATAGCAGAGGAGCAAACTGGAGACAAAAGATTTCCTGAAAGCGTTCAGATTATACTCCTTTTTGCTTATTCTTACCCCACAATAGGGAACTGAAAGAGATAGCCCAAAACATGGCACTAACTTGAAAAAAAACAACAGCACCCTCCCAAAAAAAGACCCCAAAACTCCCAGATGAATGGCATTAACAATTCTAGTATAAGTTCTCCTGTCTAGATTGGTTGTGTTTTAAGATTATGACACTACAAAAGATTTTTGCATCATTATGGGTCAAAATCTACCCAAAAGATCAACACTGCATTTGCTGCTCAGGAAGAAATTTCACTTGAGGCTAAGGGAGGAACAAAATCTTTATTTTTCTTAGGTCTAGAGGCACTCATGAGCACGGAAAAATTCCCCTGTACACACTCCTTGATGCACACTTGGTCTATGACTGAGGAAAAAATAGACTTTGGTCTTAAGAGATGAATACATTTACCTAATAATGGACTTATTTTCTTTTTTTTTTGTATAATAAAAGCCTTCTCATTTTCTGCAATATTCTGCACCATACAGCTCCTTAAGGCAAATTATTTCAGGGGAAAGTATGAACTAATGATTCTGAATGGCTCTCAGACTGATGCTTGCAGTTGCAGCTCCCCAAACAAAACAGATGAGAGTGTCACACTCTCTTCCAGTGCAAAATGCAGTCAGTTGTACCAAATATTTTAAACTGCCAAAAACAGAAACCTACTTTGTGGAGAAAAAGGGTTGGCATCAGCTGCAACTAAGGCATTTGTTACAGTTCATAAAATTGGCAGAAATTTTCTTTTATGGAACTTGAGGTTTTTTAAAACAGTTCTCCTGTCACAAAGCTTTTCCCCAGTGGATCTATTTTAAAAGTTAGTTAACATATTAAATTTAAAAATAACTAGCACAACATTGATTCTTTTGATCACAGGTCAATTTAAATTTAAGGAAGGTCAACACCAGTTTTCTTTCCTCACAAAACTGAATTTGAGTTGTGTCTCTGTGGAAGAGATCCCTTTCCATAACTGAAGGAGAGGGGAACAGAAAAGCAAAGAGGGGGGAAGTGGCAGTAGCCTCCAACTTTTCACATGGCTTCAAAGTGAAGGTGAATGTAGTGGAAGAGGATTAAGGGTTCACCTGTTCAGTTCACACAGCAGTGTACTACATCGGGCTGGAAACAAGCACCAGATGTAGCAAAGGAAGGAGTGGATCCCTCAAAATCCTGCAGCGCCGCTTAAGTCAACTCCTTTCTAGCACAGTAGCTCATTTTCTGCATCACAGGAGTCATGCTTCCCACAAACAGCGCTCCAACTTTAGTTCCCTGCATGGAACTAAACTTTAGCAGACCCAGCAGCCTGGCACTACTGTGCTTCCATATCCCAGCCTCAGGTCACTTACTGGGTGCTGGCGTACACCAGCAATAAAGTCTGCATCTAGGAAATCAAGAGAGGCTCAGAAACCAGATCCTGCTATTTTCTGGGCAAATTTCACCCTGCTCCAACTCTTCTTTCCCCCACAATTTTCTGATCTTCTTTCTACTTAATCAGATTCAAAGAAGGACTGCATCAGAGCAGCAGCACAGAGAAAAGCACCCGTCAGGAAGATCTGTCACTAACCCACCAGCCACGAGCACAGGAGATGCAAGTGTTTGAAGGAGGAATAAGAAGGCCTCCATGGAGCTGGAATATGAAGGAAAGAATATCAGAATCATAGCATGTCACACCCTAAGCAGCACAGCACTTTGCAACATAATTTAAACTTTCAGGACACTATTTACAAAAAAGTATCAGTAACAGTGTTACATCCCGCTATTCTACCAGGATTTTGAAACAAACACCAAAACAAATCCAAACAAACGAACAAAAGCTCCTGAAGGTTATTGTACATGTGGTCTTTTTTTAATTAGGGGATTCTTAACAGTTTCATACAACTTTAAATGGTTGCTGTTGTCTTAATAGAAGACCTAAAGTATTGTAATTTAAACTAATATACAGATGGAAAGGGCAAATAAATGGCATAAGTATGGTTCCTTATATTGGCTGCATTACACACCAGTGGATTTAGTCATACTCATGTAAATCTTATTATTTACATAATACATGATAACACTTGATAGACATGAACTGTTGAACAGACAATACCAAATCTTTTAAATTACACTTTTCAAAGGTAATCTCATATGGAGAATAAAAAAATAATATTTCAGGAAAACAAAAAAGACATCCTGAGAGCAAGGATTTTATTTTTCAGTATACTAGAAATGCACAGCATTTCTCACAAGCACAGCACTTTAAAAGTCATAAATTGTTCAGACATTTGTCTGCCTTGCCAACTGTATGAACAGGGCCAGGAGTCCTAGAAGAGCAGGTGCTGTTTCAAAACACAGCTGAGGACTCCAAAGCTTTTGGGGGATTGGGATTCCAATTAAAATTTCTGCCTGAGGCAGCTTCCAAGAGCTCCACTAAGCCAGCACTTGTACAGATAAAAGTTTATGTTGAGCACTTTGCTCATGACTTTGCAAACGTGAATTGAGCACATTCAAGTTTAATTCTCAGTGCAGCTGCAGGTCAGCATTTCTTGCCCACAAACAAAGCCATCTTCAGCAGCCTCACCTGCCAGGTGCAAACACTTGTAGACAGGTCTTTTCAAAGTGAGAGGTTTAAAGATTAGCAGAAAACGAAACAACCTTCACGTTTGGCACGCAGAAGCCATCGTGTTACACAAATGCTCATTTTGCTATCTATGGTTCTACAGCAACAACCAGCACACATGGGTATTCAAAGAAGCCCTGTGTCAAGTTCATGAAAAATAATCTTTCACACGTGCATGCACACCTTTCCTTGGAAACTTGAAATAAACAGAGCAGTTACACAATATTCTACAAACAAAAGTAGTGCCTAACAGAAAATATTTGGTATTTCAGGATCAAACCACTGAGACCAAGATGCTACAGCAGCTCTATTCCACTATAAAGACACCATACATACAATAAGAAAAAAAATCAAAATTCACTGTAAGCATTCCAGTTTTACACATGCCTGTTATTCAGTAATATGTGTTCAATGCATTTGACTCAAAACAAAATGCTGCTACCAACAAAAAAAAAAAAAAAAAAAAAAAAAAAAAAAAAAAAAAAAAAAAAAAGAGGGGGGGGAAAAAAAAAAAAAGAAAAAAAAAAAAAAAAAAAAAAAAAAAAAAAAAAAAAAGAAAAGAGAGAGAGAGGAAAGCAAAGAAGTGATGAAACACAACAAGCAAGCAACAGGGAAACAAGGTTTAAGAGATTTGCAGATTCGAAGAAAAAAAAGCAACAGCCAATCTTAGCAATGCTTTCAGCTTGGTGAAAAGGTACCTGTCGACTTCCCTGCTTGGAGGAGCAGCTGCTAGTGCTTCTTGAAGGAGACAACATTTTCTGGGATGCACCGAAGTTCTTCTCTTCACTCATGATCCAATACTATTTGTTCCACATAAGCTCTCTTAGAACACCACTAAAAGGTAATTTGGAAAATGTGTTGGAAGACTCCTCAGAGAAACACTGAACTCATCCTTTACCCAAATGCAGTCCAGTGGCATGATCTGTACCCCATGGAAACTCCTAGAAGGGAAAAGGAAAAAAAAAAGCCAAGTTAGCAGATGCTGTCTCTTGCTGCCATATTCTAGCATGAATCATAATAAAGCCTTTGATTAACACAAGCTGACCACATTACTGTATTTTTTAAGAAATAAATTAAACAATCACTTTAAGATAAATTTGCAAGTCTCAAAAAGGAATGACATAAATTTTGAATCCTAAAAACATTTTAATTGCTGCTATTTATTCAGAGGACAAAGTACAGTATCAAATATATTTTTACAGATTTAAATTAATTTTAAAAATTAATAAAAACTCACAAAGAAAATCATAAATATCTATATGAAATGGCCCAAAATAGATCCAAAGTGAGAGGCAAACATCCAATAAAATGCCACCAAAAAAAGGTGCACCAAAAAGGTGTAATTAAATAAATTTCTCTTTTTCTCTGTTCCTTGATAATTCAAACAAGTAAGCATGGTTTCATGTTATAACAAAAAAAAAAAAAAAACATAAAAGAGTAATTCCTAAAAGCAGTGATCATGAAAACTTAGCTGCAGAGAGCTGTGCATGAGCACTTTTACCTGGAATCAGAAAGCTCTATCTACTGTCACATCAGTTGTCTCAGCAAGTGACTGGAAGAATAATTAACAGTCTGTTTAATAACAGTGCTCCCTGCAGCACATGCAAATACAAGCCATGCCAGGAACTCCCGGTAACGGAGTTCCAGCGTGGGTAAAAGTTGTCATGGTAACTGAATACCTTAAAAAAAAACAACCAAAAACCAAAACCAACAAACAGAGGACATTACAAAAGAGTGATGCTTTCCAAAACTTGAGGTGGTTGTATAAATTGAGTATCACTTCACATTTTATTGCCTCAGGCAAAGAATTCACAATTAGGAAGAATCCATGAACAATCAGTGATAAAGGTAAGGAAGTTTCCTTAGAAAGAGAAAGAGAGATTTCATTGCTGAAACAGGGAGGCACTACCTCACAATTCCCTCACTTGCACTGTCACAACAGTCCTGAGCTGGGATCACTGATTATTGAAGTTTGCCATTCATTTTTTCCTTGAAGAGCCTTAAATTCTATTCTGAGAGAAGCAGTAATTTCAGATCCCTAGTAAAGCATTTTGTGCATTTTAAGAATTCATTTTCCTTAAAAACAAAATGAAACAATACATCAAAAGCCACAGACAAGAAAAAACCAACCAGAACTTAAATGTGGCACCTGGTTTTAATTTTAAGATGAAGACAGCACTCTGCAGCAGAAAACCTCTCTCCCTACAGCTGTAGTCTGAAGCATCCAGCTTCTGAACAGAAACCTTTTCCAACCTACAGCGCTTTCTGGCAATATAGTTTGCTGTAACACTTCAATCAACATGACCTCTTTTCACCTGAAACACAATCTCTCCTTATGGCATTTACTTTACCTAGTTAGAAATACTCCAGAACAAGTCTGTTATACAGCCCCGACCTCCACAAGTGAGGTGAGAAATGAACTCTCCTGGGGCTCTTCCAGAAGTGAAGATGAGTCAGCTCGGTAAATATTCCAGTAACCATCAGAGAGATACAAAGACAGTGAGCCCAATGAAGACCAAAAAAAAAAAAAAACCCCAGAACAGCAATGTGACAAGCAAGGTCTATGTGATTTGGGCCCAACACATGAACTTGAAACTGAAGTTGTGACTGAGATTAGGAGCTGTGCATTTTGGAGAAGGTATGGTTCTATCTGGAAGATAAATCTGTGTGGCATTTCATTAAGAACAAGTACTTTTAACAGGTTTAGATCTCTTTCCATTTTCTTTTTAAAGCAGGTTAGAAGCATCTCAGGTTTCTAACTATGGAGTAAATATAAAGGATAACTTTCTTATTTACTTGCAAGCTCCATTCAGCAAAACAGTTTAATGGTAATGTCTGTATTTACAAGAAGAGGTCAAATGCTCTCAACAGCAACAGAAACACTCTTCCTGCAAACTCATTGTTCAGATACCCCCTTGAAACCAGGCAGCAAGTGTTTTGCTTCTGGAGCAGACTTTGGTCAGATAAATCCCTGTTCTCTTCACTGCTCTCGTTCAGAAGGAGCACCTTCAGCTTTCACTGGTGACTATCTGGCATTTTGGCAGTGATTGGCAGAGTTCATGGCAAGAAACAGGCTCTAATTTGCAGCAAAAAGCACTGGGAACTTTTGCAGCAAAACGCACTGGGTATATCTCCAGGACACACTACATTTAAAATATACAATGTCCTTTGCCTGGTCAAACATACAGCATAATAGTTGTGATGTCCTAGAAGTGCCAAGTAACCAAAAAAACCCCTAGAGGTCTCTTGGACTTCAACACAGAGAGAAGCCCTATAATCAAGGAATCTTTCTATCATCTTGTTTCTGGTGTGGAGTCTAAATGAACTGAAGGTTTGGCTACACAAATGTTCGAGGACAGAGCAGAGGGGTACTTCCTCTGCAAATCTCCTGTAATAACAAGGTTTGCACTGCCGGGCAGTCTTGGAACAAGGAAGCTGAATCCCTTTTGGATTAAATGTGCTCCAGGACTGCATCCAGTGTTCAAAGTATTGACTAGAGCCAGTCCTGATGAGTCTTATGCAGGGGCTGATGTTAGGTCTTCTTCCTAAGAGATTGACTACAAGGATCCAGTTCTACTGCACTGCTCCACTTGCTAACATTGATGTCAGAGAGACACAGACTTACACACCCCAAGAAAGTACTTAAGATCTCCTACAGCAATGTCATTTGTCCTTTTGGAATCAAAGAGAGTGAGATGGGCACATTTCCAGAACTCAAATGAGCTGAAGATGACTCACTACCTAACAAGAGGTGCTTGAACAAGGAGCAGGTGACAGGTGAGGTAAATCCGGCAGAGCGCACCTGAAGGATTTTGTCAGTCTACTTCTGAAGCTGGGCTTTTGAATTTTCCTTCATTCCTTCAAATGAGTTACTGCATGGGCTGGACAAAAAGACTTTTCTTACCAGCCTTGAAGAATTTAGGAGTGAAAAATGTGTCCTCTCTCTCAAGTGCTTCATTCTATTGGTGTTTCCCAGTAATTTAACTTATTACCTTGAGACTTCCAGATCTGAGCATGAAAAAGTGTATGAGAATAACTACCATGGCCCCAAATCCTCTGTAAAAACTGCTGTGCATTCCAGCAACAACTCTTTAAAAATTCTCTTCAAGTTTAGAAGAGAAAAAAGAAAACTGTGGCTGCCCTTCAACAATAACTCACTTATTCTTCCAGGAAGGTGAGAAAACACTGATCCTGCATCCCAGCTTGACTGGCTTTCAGCAGTAGTGACTGGGCCTCTCTAGGGCAAATGATATTTTGCAATAGCTGTGGAAATTAAGGTCACCAGGTATAAGAGCAATTACAACTTTAAAGCAAGCATAAAAAACAGTGTTATGCTAATGAAGTGAAGATTGCAACCAAAATTGATTTTTAAGGTCATCATAATACAATTGCTTCAGATTCATTAAAATTTGCTCCTTTCCATGCCACAGGATGGCCTCAGAACTGTATTTGTTCCCACATTTCTCTGGAGCATACAGGGCCACTTACTTTGGTCTACTCCAAAAAGACAACTCCAAGGTGTGAGGCTGAGGCAAATCCAAATAAATTGAGGACAGTCATTTTCTCAAGTGCTAAGTATTGCCCTAATTCTTTCCTATAAAGCCAACAGCTGCAGAAGTAGGCCAAGAGTACCTCTGCAAATGGCCTCACCAGGTGCATTTTGAAAAAAATAGGAATACATGAGTACCAAATATTAGTTAGAGCTACTACACCATTAGATGATAAACAGCACTTATCTCTACTAATCATCTGCTACTAAGAGCCTTATTCTACATCAATTAAAGATAATGTAAATATATGATAATATGTAAAACAGGAATACAATTATTTTTTTTAAAAAGTACTATCCCAGGTTGTCCTCAAACCTTTAAAATTGCACAGGTTCAAAGCAGCCTTGCAGTATCCTTTCATCTCTCACAACTCTGAAAACAATAAGCTTACAGCAAAATCAAAGATTTTTCACATCTCACAAAAGAAGAGAAGGGAAATTCAGAAGAAAAAATATGTATCACTGCATTTAAAAAAAAACCAAACAAAAACAACATCATGCAATTATTTTTGCCATGGTTCTGGAGGAAAAGTAAAGCCTTAACAGCTGCTTCAAAGCTGATTCAGCAGTGAAGGAACACTAGAGACTTTGAGAAGCAAAACTGGAAGTGTACATCTCATTCTGTAGTCAATTAAGGTTTTTTGGACAGAAGAATAGTAACAACATAAAGCCTGATGAGAGTCAGGTGGATACAGCAAGCATGGAACTCAGCAAGCCAAATCAGAGTTGCATGCAAAATTAAGTGACTTTCACAGAATTAACAAAGACTTTGTGCTGAAACCTTTGCTCTGCAGCTATTATTAAATTACATTCACTCACATCTGCCTGGATAAACAAAGCAATAGTCTTTCCCTAGTATTGCTTTCATGTCTCTCTCTGTTAGAGTTCAATTTGCCAGCTTTAATCTATGCCAGTGTCTTATCTGGCTCAAAATAGGAAAGAATTATTTATAGGCTACAGATACACCACATACAACTATGGGAGATGTCTTTTCAAGGCAGGTATTTGCTGTTCCTCAATTACTGCGAGATTCATACTACTGAAGGTAAAGCACATGAATCCTGTTCTGTTACTAGCTATTCTCTTTACTAAAGAAAACTTGCGGAAACAAACACAAAGCAGTTTAAAACAACTCTTACTGATAGGTTATTAAACCTGGCTTTGAAAGCAAAGGTTCAAACAGCTCAGGGAGACTAACAATAACAGGAAGCATTTCAGAGCTGCCTTCCATCAGATAAGAGCTCACCCAAATCACAACTTCTCTTGAACAGATGTTTTCATCAGCCATGAAAAAATGCTACCTGGAAGCAGTCTGTGATGCAAAGAAACATCTAACCTGTCTCCTTAAGGAGGCTTTTGTAGCAATTTAATCATGCTATGTCACTGACCTAA